ATATTAACACCCAGATCGTAATTAAGAATACGGGATGGCAAAATAAGGACACCTCTCGTTCCATAATATGATAAGGGGAAAAGGTTTAGGCGTCTTAAGTGCTCATCGTAAGGGTGTTTGGAAATATTCACTAATTTTGTTTCCACATGTTGAACACACTCAAGTGAGTTAGCATCTTTAATTAGACATGGACTAGCTGCTTGGATTTATTTTATCTATTTATTTTAACACATAGATGTTGGTACAAGGAGGCACCAAATACATATGCGCCACACAGATCTCATTTGATATGTGTGAGGGATGTGATACTGCCCGGGTGCCCAAACCGAGGCAGGTGGTTGTCTTAGGGAGCCACACTCGGAGCCTTTGACCTGAAGATGTGATCCACAAGGTAGTGGAGTATCGTAAGGAGATGCAGTCCCACGGTAGCCGGTGACCAACGATTGCATTGTACTCCATTTGTTCCTTCAGGATACTGGAACCCATGTGCACCATTGGTTTGGGATCCCGTTAAAGCGCCGGACATTCGCTTTTCGTCCTCTCATTTTCGTAAACAACACCTGTGGCACGAGAAGGCAGTGAGTATCACTTCCCTGACAGAGGCTATATACGCGTGGCCATTTGAGAGCATTTTGAGGGGGAGTGTGGACTCTCCCCACTCTCGGCCGTACCAGAGCATTTGGGGGATGATTGGATACGGTACTCTAAGTGTGGTCTTACATAGGTGGTATATAAAATTCAAAGCATCTCCTCGCTAATGCATTTGAATGCTCGGTTAAGTGACCAAAACGCACGAAACCCTTTGGCAGCTGTTGCATTGCAATATGTAGTTCTTTTCAAGTCGTGACTTACTATTACCCCTAAATATTTATGTTCCTGCAAGCATGGAAGAGATGTACCATCAACAGTATACTGGTAAATATTACCGTGTCCAATGTTCATGAGCACACTTTCTATAATTAACTTTTAAGCCCCAACATCGAGCCCATCTAACTAATTCGTCTAATTCAGCTTGGAGATCAAACTGATCAGCCTCGCTTCTTATTGTTCTCCAGATTTTGACATCATCCGCAAACAAAATGTCGACGAATTAAGCAATCACGGTCATTCATTGACGTAGAGAAGAAGTAGGGGACCTAAGATAATGCCTTGGGGTACACCACTTCCGATCGGCTTCCATTCGGTTAGCGTTACGTTAACCTTCCATCTGTCTGCGGTCCCATAAGAAGTTTCCTATCCATTCCCGTACAGCACCCGTTATTCTGAAGCTCGAGAGCTTCTGCACAAGACCTAAATGAGAAACCTTGTCAAACGCTTTACCGAAGTCTATGAATATCACATCGACAGACAGACCGTTATCTAGGGCTGCTGTCCAATCCTCTCTTTCGATAAGTAAGTTGGTTAGGCATGAATGTTTGGTTCAAAACCCGTTTTGCTCGGGAGTTAACAGATTGTGACTTAGTAACTTAACCCGAATTATGTTTTCAAGTAACTCAACTACTAAGCTGGCTAGACTGACAGGTCTGTAGTTAGATACGATGTCTTTGACCGTCCTTAAATATAGGACTGATTATATCATCTTTCCAATCTCGAGGGAATTGAGCGAGTGAAAGGAACATGTTAAGGAGCACCGCGAGTGGTCTTGAAGTAATGTTCGCGAGAGATGATAGCAGTTGTGGATGTAACCCATCAGGGTCCGGTATCTTACAAGGTTTGAGGCCAGTGATCAATAAAAGATCAGTTTCCTCAGTCACCTATAAAGGTCCTATGGTTGGTATTTCGGTGTGATTAGGATCCGTGTTTTTAGAAGTACACGTAGAGTAGACTTGGCTAAAATAGTTTGATAATGTCTCAGCTTTTGCCAGATTTGATTGAGCTAGTAAATCTGAATTTTCGTGTAACAGTAATCAGGGAATACCATCACTACGTTTTAATCTCGGTTTAACGTACGAAAACAATCGTTTAGGACAAGTACGGCTATCATATTTCAACTGTCTTTCGTAAATATTACCCCATCTAGCTATGGTATTTTTACACATATTCCGGATTTTTTGGTATTCACACTTAAATGATTCGTGTCCCGTTGACAAGAATAAGTCCCAGAAATTTTTCTTACACTTTAGCAGCACTTGGGTTCCCTTGTTAATCCATGGGGGACAATTTCATAGCCTGCATGTTGACTATGGGATTTACGGTGATGTTGTGGACTCGAATGTAGCTTTTAACTTATCCCATTCGTCTTCGACCGACCAGTTTATGGAGACAGCACAATCCCTGATTGTCGAAATGCTAGCTCGCCAGATATTGGGATGGGGTGGAGCAGATAAATACTGTATACCGTGTGTCCGAAACTTAAAGTAAAGTACAACGTGATCACTATTCGCTAGTGGGGAAACATACTGAATGTTGATGACATCGTCACAGTGGTGTGTAAAATCAAGGTTCAGCAGTGACGAATCATGTTCCAAGTCAATATGTGTTTGTTTAACGATAGATTGTACAAATGCACACTGAATAATGGTTGATAGAAGGTCGCTATCAAAACCCCCACTTGAAGCTGTTAGTTCTATCCAGTTGATATGCGGTGCGTTGAAATCTTCAGTGAGGAGACAACATTGTGCTTTACTCCAAGAACATATGTGTCTTAAGACAAAGTCATCAACAAGACAACATGGACTACAGTATATTCTTCCTACAGTTACTAATCCGTGTCCAGACTTAATTTTACAACATGCTACCTCATATGTACCACTAACATGCGCCTCCGATATGATTGACTGTATACGAAAGTGATCCCTAACATATAACATTATGTCTCCTCCCTTGCGACTTATAACTCTATTACTTCTAATACAGGTATAGCCTGCAATGTTGGAAGAACAGTCTATATCTACAGTGAACCAAGTTTCTGTGATAACAATTTTATTGGGAATTAATTCATCCACCATCAAATTTAGCTCGGACGTTTTATTTCGAAGACTACGGGCGTTCGTGTAGCGCACATTTAAGGTGTTTTGAGGATCATTCGTTCTACCCATACAGGTCTCGCAAGCATTGTCTTCGAAGACCTGGCCACCCGTAAACCCTTAATTGTAAAGTTTGTTTCGCCATTTAGCTTCCAAGTTTTTAACTTCGTAAAGGCATTCTTTCACTTGATTCGATCCTCAAGCTGCTAATCTGGCTGGATACGAATATTAAACTTAAGAGTTTTGTATGCGTTATTCAATAATACGTCTCTTTCATCGAAACTCCCGAGTACCAACTTCAAGACCCTTCTTGGTTGGGTTTTGCCCCTAACCCATTTACCGAGTTTTATTACTTTCGTGATATGTACCTTTGAAACCTCTTCAGACAGTACATTTCTGATGGCAGACTCCAAATTGTGTGCATGTCTTTTAGCAGGTTCTCCTTTCGGTTCTAAATAATTAGACTAGGAACGGGTTTAACTTCTTTAAAGGTCGTGATGTCAGATCCTGCCTGTTAACCTCTGGGAGCTTACCGTTAGTTTTTCTTGTAAGAGCCATGGAAGTCGAAATGACTCATAACAATGTTTGATGAGTCCAAACTTTTCCCGTCTACGATAGGGTTAAATATTGTCTTTGGAACTCTGGCGGAGTAATCTGCAACGCAGAATGTGAGTTCAACAAGGCTCTATTTTTGACTATGTTTCCTTGTCATCCATTTCCCATCAGTCGTGGTATCCACATTAGAACTACTTGAGACCATAATGGTTTTGTTTGAGTCATCAGTCGCTGCTGTAACAACTTGGCCACCAGCATTTAACGGTGTATCGCTCATTAATTGTTTCGGGATGAAAATCTCTATTGCGTGTTGCACAATCGGGTCTAGCACGTGCCGTAACATCACTTACGATACGGATACATTCGCTATCAGTATCCATGTTACCCGTACAGCCCTCATCAACCTTTTTGTTGGCCAACGCCAAAAGGTCAATTGCTATTTGTATGAGCAATGTTTTGCTCGAACAACAAAACATACAAAGCCAATGGAAGTTAGGATTTGAGCACCTTTTAAAGGCAGTGGGATTTAAGCGGGTACACATCTTATGGAACCACTTCTTACATTCATCACATTGCATTCCTTCTTCCACAGGAAATAAGCAATATGGCTGTCCACATTTGTGAGCAGAGCCGACCATTTTAAAAATAAACCAAAAATAGTAACAAAAATGAATATGTAAAAATATTTCAAACCTTAACCGAATAAATCAAGTCAAAGTCGACCAGGTACGCTATAATGCAATAAATACGCAAACGCAAAGTCAATACGCACATTTTTTGTACCATTCAGTTATAATCAACACATCCTGGGAAAAATGTGTCACATTCCGAGCTTCCACACACTTGTACCTAAGTTTATGTTCTATAAACCCTTTTCGGGGTTATGCTTACTGAGATTACGTTTTTGGTCTACATTATTCATAACCTTCCTCAACTATAATCTTTGTTAGAGCACTCGTCTAGAGATTTCTTGGGATTATGACCGATTAAAATAATTTTTTGGAAAGTTTTGGGAGTTGTTTCAATCAACGTACGTCAATTTATTCCCTTCATAATTTTTAGTACCATCTAGAAGAGTTCCAGGATGTTGGTTAAATCATTCACTTCTCAATCATTAGGTTGTAAGTTAGAATCGCTTCCCATCTACTTTGATTTGAGAAGCTGTGTAATATCACTAACCCTCAAAAAAGCATTGAGAAGTTTAGATGCGCAGAGGGTTGTTAAGTGTTGATTTTCACTTTCGTCCAAACCCAAGGTATCCATCCTTGACCAATAAGTTATCAAATTTTGGGGAAGGTCTGGCACAGATATACGTTGTCTCAATTCGTCATATCACATAAGCATGATGAGAAACTAACAAGGTGAATAGCAAAAGTAATAGAAATATTAGCAGTGATAACGAAAAAAATCTGGCAATATCGTTAATCGTCATACAGTTGGTATAGCTCAGTGCTTAATGTATCGTTATTTATTTTCTAGAATGACCTTAGTATTGTTGCATCCTATGACCGTCGTGGTCGTTATATTTATACCGGGAACTCAAAAGGCAAAGTAAGTGAAACATATAATTTGTTTTAATGTTTTTGTTCATTTTATGAATACTTATCATTTTTCCTCACTATCTTCTCAAATGCTCGAATTTCGGATATTTAATAAATTGACAGTTCATTTTAATAGATGTTCTATCACTAATGTAGGAACTCTTAATTCGTTTAAGATCTTGTTCAGGGTTTTTCTATTGAGGTTCGAATCCACAATTATTTTTCAAAGTTACCTCAACAGAATTTTCGCTAGACAGCTATTTTATAGTATACTCAGGGGTTAGAATATTGCCTTGGAAAAGTTTTATGTAATTTGACTTTAGAAACACCTGGACTAAGGATAGGGAGTGAAGTAGTCGAACGCGTTGACAACTTCACTTATCTTGGAAGTCTGATCAGCCCTAATGGGTTGGTGTCTGACGAAATCTCAGCACGGATTCAAAAAGCTCGTTTGGCCTTTGCCAACTTACGTCATCTATGGCGAAGGCGAGTTATCCGTCTATCAATTAAGGGACGTGTATATTGCGCGGCAGTTCGTTCCGTTCTACTATACGGCTGCGAAACATGGCCTTTAAGAGTAGAAGATACTCGTGAGCTACAATTATTTGACCACAGGTGCCTTCGAAATATTGTTGGTATCTGCTGGGATCACCGGATAAGTAATGGTGAGGTTAGACGCAGGGCATTAGGGAATGATGGTAAATCAGTTGATGAGGTTATGAATCTTCATCGACTGAGATGGTTGGGCCACGTGTTGCGTATGCGGATAATTGGAAGAAAGTTAGGGGCGGCCAAATCAAAACGTGGCATCAGTGCTTGAAGTCACCAACTTCTAGTCTGAGCCATGTTGGTAGATACAGACTAGTTGGTTGGGGTCCGCGTGACTATCGTAACCAATGGTTGGAGACTGTTAGTGACATGGCTCAGAATCGATCACAACGGCGTAGGTGTATAGATACTTTGTCTTTCTACATTCTAAATCTTTCTTCTTCCTGTACTATCTCCTTATATGCAGTCTTTCTTTTATATATTAGGACCACTGAATTAACTACTTCTATGAATCCGGTGTTCATCTTGTTGTGCTAATGCGGTATGGCAACTTGAACCGATGCATATGTGTGCCTGGTCCTACGTTGCAGATGACTGATTGAGAAACGCTGTCTTACCTCCATTTTCGAAGTCGTTTTCTGGTATTTAATACATATTCGTTTTTTGTAATTTATAGGTCTTCCTAATACCTTGCTGTTCAAACTGTGATCACTTATGTTGATGTACTAATGTATATTTCTTTAATTGTTTTCGTTGTTTAAATGTTATTCGTAACAAACTTATTAATAAACGACTACAAAACTAGGTGAAACCTGAGTTTCAATAAGGCTATGACACCAGAAAATTCCAACGTTTCCGTCTATTACGCTAAGGAATCAAATAGATAGATAAATATGAACGTCAGTTTGATCATGTGTCTTTGAAGCATTTCTTACGTATTGTGGAATAACCGATTGCGTATTGCTAGGATTAATCGTACGCCACTGGGAAAATGTAGCAAATCAATTGATAAGGTTGTGAATATTTGTCCACTGTGACAACTTGAGTATGTGTTACGTCTGCCCAAACACCACCTATATTGACGCAAAATGTTGATTGGAATAGGAATAGTCTAGAGGAAAGTAAGCAGTTGTAAAACCAAGACATGGAATCACTTTATGAAGTCATTGGCTGTTGGACTGAGTCATGCTTGTCGATGCAGGCTATCTGGTTGGGGTTCACTCAATAACTTCGACCAGTGACTGGAGATGGTTGGTATTGCTGAAAATCATTCACAGCAATACAGATCCATTCAACATTTGTAACAGTATCTGGCTCTAATCTAGTCATGTTTTATGTGTTTTTCCAACCATACTGTAACCAACGTTTTTCAGCATCAAGTTGTCGACTGTTATTCTCAGTTGTTTCGTAGACTTTATTCAGACAGGCTGGTAGTTCTTTACGTAACTTAGATCAACAATCGCGAGCTCCATAGACCAATAGCATCTCGCGGTCTTTATTATTTATTTAAACACATAAAGGACACCGAATACATATGCATCACACAAGTCACTTGATTTGTGTGTAGGCTGTGTTACTTCCCGGATGCCCAGACCGAAGCCGGTGATTTTCCTAGGGAGCCACACCCAGAAACTTTGACCTAAAGGCCTGGTCCACAATGCAGTGGAGCAACGTAAGGAGATGCAGTCCCATGGTAGCTGGTGACCAGTAATTGGTTCATATGCCATTTGTTCCCTCAGGATACTGAAACTCATGTGCACCATTGGTTTAGAATGAGGGTTTTCCAAATTCCCTAGGTGGATCCTCCATATCCACCAACCTGGTTAAAGTGTTTGACATTCGTTTTCGTCCTCTCAACTTCGTAAACCACACTAATGGTTCAAAAAGGCAGTGAGTAGGACTTCTCTGTCAGTGGCTGTATACGCGTGGCCATGTGAGAGGGAGTCGACTTTCCCCACCCTCGGCATTTGGGGGACTTCGTGATCTGAATAAACAATCATATCTTGATATAAAAGATTTTCTAAAATCTATTCATCACTCCATTGTTAAGTAATCTAATAGTAGTAATAATTTTATTTTCTCTATTTTTAGTTTCAAAAGCTTTTTAAATGTATTTAATATTGAATCGTAAAAATTCATTCATTTCCTAAATATAGGTTTGTATATATGAAACGAAAGATTTCCAGTTGATCAGCTCATTTAAATCAACATCAGCAGCGAACGCTGCCATCAAATCGATAGAATTCGCTAGACGTGGGGAGTAAGTTCAATTTTTGTGTATGTGTATGTATTACAGTTAACGTATTTATTTATTTGATGTACCTTAATTCTGGTATAAATGAGTACCAGAAAAAAAGTGTATATTACATAACATAAAACAGATGACATTGTGAAGAAATAAGAGTGAGAATAGGAGTAAAATCATAAAATAATAATTGAACATATAGTGTATGATAGGAGATATACTTAAGTTAATACTACAATCAAGAAAGACTTTATTTAGTTAAGGAGATTTCTGTCAATTTTATGTATACTGTAAAAGATAACTACATTGGAATCTTTACTGGTTTCTATTTGAACCCATCCATGGTAACTTTCCAAGCTACTAAGTCGCACCATCTCTAGAACTCCAATCATAGACTCATGATGAATCGAAAGATACCAGTCTCAAACTGCTCTCTTTAATTGTTAGCTAATATGCTTTTCGTTTTAATGTACTTATATTTTTATTATTTATTTGATTTTGAAGGTAATTTCCCCCACAAACGGACATCGGTTTACGAATTATTGAACACTAGTGAGCCACTTAATGACTATTTTGTCCGTTGTTATTACCAAGTTCTACATTTAAATAGCGGTATATAGAGACAATAAAAACAGTCTAACGAAAGAAAGATCTTCTTATTTGTACTATAAGTGTTTTAAGGATAGTCAAAATGTTGAATATCATTAACTTGTACTAAGTTAGTACAAATGGTTTAAAATTAGCTTCCGATCTTTGTATCATAAGTGCTGTTAGCGGGATATAAATTGACTTAAGACATGTTCCGTGCGAGATTGTGTTGAGGCACGTTGACTGACAATTTCTTAACCAGTCAGAGCTAGTAGAGACTTGGAGAAAACTTTACAATCTTCTTATGTGAAAGTTCTAAATGTACTAACGTTTTTCTTATTGTGACTCCTACTTCCATCCACCTTTGTTATTTGGAATATAACTACATCCCTGTTCAACCGCGTTTTGATTTGGAGAATTGTTTAGTGAAGCAGTGTCCAAGAAATACTAAGCAACAAAAGTAGTTGGGTTGTGATGAAAGAAATCGTAACAAGTGCAAAGCTCATCATTCTCACACTTAATTTATTGATCATAAGATAAAATTAACATTCTCCCTCTCAAATAATACAGTTGTTAGGATACGGGTACTAGGTAAAGATAGCAAATCAATTGATGAAGTAGTAAAACTTCATCAGTTGAGATGCTTGTGACATGTGTTACGTATGCCAAACCACCGACTGCCCCGACGTGCGATGTTTTATGGTATAGGAGTAGGTTGGAAGAAAGCTAGGGGCGACCAGACCAGAACGTGGCACAAATGCATCAAGTCATTGACAAGTGGACTGAGTCATGTTGGTAGGTGTAGACTACCTGATTCCGGAGATCCGCGAGATGGTGGCAACCGATGGTTAGACCTTGAATGACATGGCTCAAAATCGTTTGCAATGGGGCAGGTGCATCTACTCATTGTGTTCTCCCAAAATCTAATCTGAATTCTTCATGTCCCCTTTTTCTCTTTCCAAATTTATTTCACTGTATTATACTCCTTTATTAACATCTTCAAACCCTAATGTTTCTGATTATTGCTTATACTTTTACTACCTCTACAGGATTTGAATCGACAAATGTATCTGTGTGCTAATGTGGTATGTCAACTCGAACTGATGTACGTACGTACGAACTTCTACGTTGTTACTGACTGATTAAAGATAAAATTAACATTCTTCCTTTCAAATCTCCACGTTGTGTCTGTCTCTGAATGACGTTCTTTTCTTTTCTTTTTTTTAAGGTTTTATTGATGTTTCTGTGCGTTATTTTATCGTCCTAGTCGCAATAGAATTTTAAATATATTCGAATTCGGTTACTGTATAATTAACCAGTTTTTTTTTAAAGAGGTCTAGTAAATCTTGTTCTCAAGATTTTACTTTTCTCTTATCTATTGGCTTTGACTAATGATGAGAATAAAACTTTATCAACGTTATTTCTTTACAGTATTCGACGTTAGTAGTACTATATGATTATCATATCAAGTATACATTATAAATAATAATTTTTATAAGTTTATGTTCTTTAAACCAGATTTAATTAAGCCATCTAATTTTAATCATACAATGTCATAAGAAGCTATAAATCTTTATCATTTCATGAATTTATGATTTTTATAAAATTTTAGATATTTCTTAATTAATTGTGCTGATCGAGTTATTCGAGTGTATAACTGTGAAGATGCATTAAACGCAAATGTTACGGATCCGGAGCCGATAAAAAAATTGAAAGATCTTGTAACTGGGTAATATTTTTCTTTTGTGACAAATTTAAAACGTATTTTTTTTCCCCATTATCGTCAATATCAGTTGTAACTGATTGATCACTACTTACTTACTTACTTACTTACTTACTTACTTACTTACGCCTGTTACTCCCAATGGAGCATAGGCCGCCGACCAGCATTCTCCAACCCACTCTGTCCTGGGCTTTCTTTTCTAGTTCCATCCAATTCTTGTTCATTTTTCTCATATCTATCTCCGTTTCCCGGCGTAATGTGTTCTTTGGTCTTCTTCTTCTACTCATTCGGCCTTGAGGATTCCATGTGAGGAGTTGTCTTGTGACACAGTTCGGTGTTTTCCTCAATGTGTGTCCTATCCACTTCCAGCGCTTCTTCCTGATTTCTTCCTCCACTGGGATCTGATTTGTTCTCTCCCACAATAGGTTGTTGCTAATATTGTCCGGCCAACGGATTCAAAGTATTACCATATATCATATCTTTCGATCGAATTCTATCGATCAGGTTGGATTATAGACACTTAGCGAAGTGACAGCATCACATATACTCTATCGAGATGTTAGGTGGTTGAACGTAGCGGCAGAAAATCTTGCTTGATGTAGGTTTTGTGCCTTCAATATTGAGTGAACTGGTGCTCCCTAGTGTGTTAAAATCAGCATCAACCTGCTTTACAGTCTGCAATACTACTGCTAAATTGTTTGGGGTCCAACTGACCTCTAGGAATGAAATATTTGCAATTGATTAATAATTGAGTAGTGGATAATGTCATGTTTTTTTTAAGAAAGGGACTTGATAAAGACTGATTGAATTTTGAAATTAGTTTTTGGTGGACTAACATCAATCGGATAATAACTTGAATACCTCGTTTGGGACTTTTCAGTATTGCATTCTTCCTAATAATATTACTCTTTTCTACCTACTTGACTCTATAGAATAATATGACAATGCAGTCCGAATGTAAAATACATCCGGGAATATCCAGATCAACGGAAGTGGTGCACACAAGTGCAGGATGGAAATGTTGATAAATTTTTATTTTTTCCTGATATAACGGAAAAATAGGAATCTAATGACACTCAATAATAGATAAGTGATACGAACTATAGATTCAATAGAATTCGGTCACTGGGTAGTCTCATTACTAGACTGGGCACTCGATCTATACACTAGATTAAGTGGTCGCTTTAGTAGATCACATGAACTCAGGTCTGTAAAGTCCAATCAACTGCTAAGAAGTAAATCAGATTAAGTGTGGTAAACAAACACTCAGGTGTGATCAAACAAATTTGTTGTTTAGTGCAAAATTACAGAGTGCTTTAGTAGAATATAATATCCATACATTAAATACATCATTTGTACATCTTCCGTCAGTTGTCCTTTATGTGCTTCCTGATTCTTCCAATTCTGTTATTATCATAATTATTTTCTGTTCTCTTCAATTGAATCTTCTCAATCTTCTTCTGGCATGCATTCCACTTCCGACAAGCGTTACTACTTATATCTGTCAAAATAAGTAGTGTACACCACATAAGCAATAGTTTATTGACAAAATTACTAGTAGTCAACATGCAAGAAAATCCGAGTGAAAATCAAAGTTGCATACTAAATTAGTTATTTATATTACTGTAACTGGATATGTCCGGCGCTTTAACCGGGTTGGTGGACATGGAGAGTTCACCTAGATGAGTTGGAAAACCCTCACTCCAAACCAATGGTGCACATGGGTTTCAGTATCCTGAGGGAACAAATGGCGTATGAATCAATCGTTGGTCACCAGCTACCATGGGACTGCATCTCCTTACGTTGCTCCACTGCCTTGTGGATCATACTTTTAGGTTGAAGTCTCTGGGTGTGACCCCCTTAGACAACCACCTGCTTCGGTTTGGGCACCCGGACAGTATCACAGCCCTCACACAAATCAAACGAGATTTATGTGGCGCATACGTATTTGTTGCCTCCTTGTACCAATATCTATGTGTTCAAAAATACAACTATAATAATCTAATTGAAACTTGAACATGTGAAATAAAGATAAGTGTAAACACTGTATGTTTCCCATCATTTTTTTCATACCTTTTCCTACACTTATGATCGCTTCAGAACAACAATATAGTCAACTTTATGCTCATTGATTTCTCCTCTACAGTTTTACTCTTGCCTATACTCTTACATCGATCAAACATTATCACTGTCGTACCGTGTGTATGAGTATGTATCAGTTCAGATTCCCTAGACATTACGTTAACACAATGAGACGCAATGAATAAAATGAAAGAAGCATAAGGTAGGTGGTGATAACATCGAAAAGTCTAGATATAAGAAATAGATTTTTTTTAAAAAAAAAGTGTATTTAGAGAGGGATGGAAAGTTAAAATTTAGACAAAGATAGGGAATAATACTACGAATTCTTTGTATCGATTCAAATATCATTAGTCAATTGTATGTAGATTTATTCACTTATCATGAAAACCAAGATAATATTCAAGGAACCTTATGTATTCTTAAACGACTTTCATAATTCACTTCTCTATCTATCTCTTCTGTTGTTTTATTTTTTTTTCTTATCTAAAAAACATATATACAAATATAAACAGGAGTCATTGGAGAAAATGTTGTTTCTCTGGTGATGGTGAATACATTTGCGCTGGTTCAATGAAACAACATTCTATTTATTTATGGGAACGTGCTAGTGGAACTTTAGTAAAAATTTTACATGGTCAAAAAGGTGAAACATTATTAGATGTTGTTTGGCATCCTTTACGACCAATTATTGTTTCTATATCGAATTCAGTAACTAAAGAACAAGTATCTATATGGGCCCAAACACAAGTGGTTAGTGATTTCATTACTATTATTATACTGTTTAGTGTCTTATTTTATGATACTTGTAATTAATTAACCAATTTATTTATTATTTATTTATTTGAGCACATAGATATTGGTACAAGGGGACACCAGATACATATGCGCCACACGAATCTCATTTGATTTGTGTGAGGGCTGTGATACTGCCCCAGTGCCCAGACCGAAGCAGGTGGTCTACTTAGGGAGCCACACCCGGAGCCTTTGACTTAAAGACCTGGTCCACAAGGCAGTGGAGCAACGTCACATGATGCAGTCCCATGGTGACCAGTGACCAACGACTGGTTGATCCGCCATTTGTTCCCGCACGATACTGGAGCCCATGTGCACCATTGGTTTGAAATGAGGGTTTTCCAACTTCCCTAGGTGGACTCTCCATGTCCACCAACCCTGTTAAAGAGCTGGACATTCACGTTTTGTCCTCTCATTTTCGTAAACAACACCCGTGGCGTGATAAGGCAGTGAGTAGGACTTCCATGACAGAGGCTATATACGCGTGGCCATATGAGAGCAATTCGAGAGGGAGAGCAGACTGTCCTCACTATCGGTCGTACCAGGGCGACAACCTATTCCTTTATTTTTGACATGATCTACAAATGAAGGAAATTCCCGCCTTTTACTAAAAAAAAAGGCCAGTTTAATGGTTAGTAAAATGACATAATAACAATTATTAGGTTAAATGTTTCCTAATTAGGATTAATAATACAATACTATATATATGGTGTGAAGAAGTTATCAAGATATGTAGTAAAGTATAAGTAAAATTAATGGTATTGGGTAAAATGCAACTCATGTATCGTTAACAGTTTTTTTGTTCCTTATCGATATACAAATTGTACGAATTATGTAAAGGCCATTAATGCTGATACAGTGGGCTAATAAAAATTCTAATGACAAGTACATGTCATTGACTAATAAATAGTCAACATTTCTTCGTTATCGTTGACTCATTTACAAAATAGCCAGTCCGTCAGTCAAAAACAACATGGAACTTCGTACGTACGTACATCAGTTCGAGTTGCCATACCACATTAGCACAGAGATTCAGTTATCGATTCAAATCCCGTAGTGGTAGAGTAGTGAAAGAATAAGTAGTGACAGGGAACGTTAATGTTTGATGATGTTATTTAAGGAGTATAGTCCAGTGGAATAGATTTGGAAGGAAAATGAAGGACATGGAGAATTCGGAAGATTAGAGTTTGAGAGAACACAGAGAGTGGGTGCACCTGCGCCATTGCAAACGATTTTCAGCCACGTCATTCAAAGTCTCTAACCATCGGTTGCTATCATCTCGCGGTCCCCAACCAGGTAGTCTACATCTACCAACATGACTCAGACCACTTGTCAGAGGTTTGCTTGATGCATCAAACCTCATCGACATCAATAATCACGATACTGAATAAACTTTTCGGGCAATTTGATTATCCGGGAAAACTGGTTACCAACAACGGGTTTCAATTCATGTTAAAAATCTCGGACTTTTGTTTAAAGAATGCGATTATACATATTCGATCGCCACCTTGTTACTCTCAATCGAAAGGTCAAGCTAAGCATTTCGTTGATACTTTCAAGCGTGCCCCCGTCAAGCGACAAGGGAAGCATGACGGAGTAAGATCACCCATGATTTCCCGAGATCATGCAGAACTACCCCGAACTCAGCCTCGCTCAAGCGTATCGCCCCAGATTAAGCAGTGTTCGGGAAAAAAACTTACTTCTTCTGACACAGTGTATCTACGGGAAACAAAGCAAAACTATAAACCCGAAGGTGAACTGAACGTCGATTCCCAGAAGGGTTATCAGTATATCTAAGAAACAGTAAGGGCTGGCTGAATGTTGGGCGTCGTCATAAGAAGAGTCATTGACGTGACTTACGAAGTTCATATTCAAGGAAAATTTCTGTGAACCACATATGACATAGAGGGCTATATTCATTTAAAGAACTCCGTGGCTCCAAACAGCAACCGAGTTACTTTATTGATACGGTTAGTCAGGGCTCCTGCTTCGGTTCGGGCTCCCGGGCAGTATCACAGCCCCCCCATAAATCTCATTTGTTTTGTGTGGCGCATATGTATTTGGTGCCTCATTGTACCAATATCTATGTGTTCAAACAGTAATGATAATAATTAGTCAGGACTAACGTGATCAGTGCAAAAGAAGCTGAACATTTTTTTTCAGGAGGGGTAGGTAATAAAGTGGGCTAATCGAAAGTCACCAAATGAGAAGGCCACGTTGTGCCGGTCAAAGATCTTTTAATGACAAGCGCATGTTATTGACCAAGAAATGGTTTTATTTTCTAATAAGTATATATATGAGTGCTTACATATGTGAACCGGTTTAGCTGGAAAAATCCTTTCTCCACTCTTAGTCTTCTCATTCAGTAGTCGGTCGTGGGTTTGGATATAGGAATTTTGTATCAGTCAGTTTTGGATGGGACTCATCTTCTACATTGTTTGAATTGTGATCACTATGTAAATTCAAGTTGGAAAGCCAGACAATGACATGTATGGAATAATTCAAACAAGTAGCGTACAGTCACTATTGGTTATAATCCAGTTCACCTTACTAGACATTTATGTTGTTACTTTAAGACTTTTCAGTCGTGCACATATAACTTCATCTAGAATAAAATTTTCGGACTTTAAGATGGAGTCCTGAGGTAGAATGAAATAGCCTATATAACGTTCCCTGATTCTTATTGGATATCCAGCTGATAATAATGATTAATTACTGATTTCTTGTTGGATACTGTGATGAAATGAGCAAACTAACAAAGAAGAATCACCAATTATTCATTTATACTCCATAATCTGTTAATGATCGAAAAACGAAATCTTTATTTGTTAAATCTCTTCAAACTAATTTTTTTCGCTCAGCAAAACTGGTCAGCTTTCGCCCCAGACTTTAAAGAACTCGATGAAAATGTGGAATATGAAGAAAGAGAATCGGAATTCGATGTTGAAGATGAAGATAAAATGATTGAAGAGAATAAAAGTAAGTGCATCTCTATGTGTGATTACAACCTTATCATTATTATTTATTCGTTTACTAGGTACCATTTAGTGTAAGTGGCTTCAAGCCGAACACGAAGTATGAGAGCTATTGATACAACTCGGTTACACAAACCGTACTAGATGGGGCAGGGTTCAAACATGCAATCATAACACTGAATTTATTACATTTCTATATATTTGATTCAATTAAGACAATTGTTTGTGTGAATAGGTGTTGTTACTCGACATTGATCGTGAGGACTTACTTGAAAACTAGTTAATCATAATATTATTTTATAGTATGTTTTACGAATTGAATGAATAAATAAAATACCAGCTGGGAGTTAATACTCAATGATACGGTGTAGCCGAAAGATAACTACTCACGGGATCAAGCTATTGACCTAAGTCCCCAATTGAACTAATATAAAAAGACAAAATGTAATTTTTAATAGAGTTTTGTTCTCTAACCTGGATGTTTTAGTCGTGCAGCTTTCATCATTCATCTGGATGACATCATTAGCACAAACTTCAGGTAGACGAGGATATAATACAAAATAGACATAATTAAATGTTATGACCGATTGAAGAATATACTGTTCATAGTTCATACAGTCGAAAATGGCCCCCAAATGCCCTGGAACGGCTGAGAGTGGGGAGAGTCCGCTCTCCCTCTCGAAATGCTCTCAAATGGCCACGTGTATATAGCCTCTGACAGGGAAGTCCTACTCACTGCCTTCTCGTGCCACAGGTGTTGTTTACGAAAATGAGAGGACGAGAAGCGAATGTCTGGCGCTTTAACCGGATCCCAAACCAATGGTGCACATGGGCTCCAGTATCCTGAAGGAACAAATGGCGTATGAATCAATCGTTGGTCACCGGCTACCATGGGACTGCATCTCCTTACGATGCTCCAATGCCTTGTGGTTCAGATCTTCAGGTCGAAGGCTCTGGGTGTGGCCCCTTAAGAAAACCACCGGGTTCGGTTAGGGCACCCGGCAGTATCACAGCCCTCACACAAATCAATTTTAATCTGTGTGACGCATATGTATTTAGTGCCTCCTTGTACCCATACGTACGTGTTAAAATAAATAAATAAAACAGTCGAAAATGAATTAAAATCTTATTAATAGAATAGATTTAATTTTCACCCGACTTATCAACGTTAGTATGAAAAAATATATTCTCAGTTAGTTAGTAGAGCTGGTTGTGAACTTTGCCTCTTCACCAAACACTAAACATATACACCAGTCCAAATTGTCACACATAAATTATCACAGTAGTGAAAATTAAAACAACTGAGCTAAATAGTAGTATCAATGATGACAAAGTAAATCAGAGAGAGAGAGAGAGAGAGTATAGTTTGAAGGGAAAAGATAAAATTAAAAATAAAATGTATGGAATAATACTAAGACTCAAATTCTAGGAAACAAAAATAAAGAATGAATGCATCTTTATCATTAATAACGATTTTATGCCTAACGTCTCTAGCCACTAACTACGATTATCGTACAGACAGCAATCAGGAAGCTTAAACCTTTCAACATGGTTCATTTTATTTATTTATTTATTTGAACACATAAATATTGGTACAAGGAGGCACTAAATATATATGCGCCACACCATGTTTTTGTGTGTGGGCTGAGAAACTGCCCGAGTGCCCAGACCGAAGCAGGTGGTTTTCTTAGGGGGCCACACCCTGAGCCTTTGACCTGAACGTCTGACCCACAAGGCAGTGGAGCATCATGAGGAGATGCAGTCCCATGGTAGCCGGTGACTAACAATTGGTTCATACGCCATTTGTTCCCGCAGGATACTGGAGCCCATGTGCACCATTGGTTTGGGGTCCGGTTAAAGCGCCAGACATTCGCTTTTCGTCCTCTCATTTTTGTAAACAACACCTGTGGCACGAGAAGGCAATGAGTAGGACTTCCCTGTCAGAGGCTATATACGCGTGGCCATTTGAGAGCATTTCGAGAGGGAGAGCGGACTCTCCTCATTCTCGGCCGTACCAAGGCATTTAGGGGCACATGGCAGGGGAGGAACGTCAGGAGATGCAGTCCCATGGTAGCCGGTGACCAACAATAGGTTCATACGCCATTTATTCCCTCAGGAGCATGAATGGTTTAAATCAGGGTTTTTCAAATTCCCTAGGTGGATCCTCCATATCCACCAACCTGGTTAAAGCGCCAGACATTCGTTTTCGTCCTCTTAATTTCGTAAAAAACACCTCTGTCGCGAAAATGTAGTGAATAGGACTTCCCTGGCAGAGGCTGTATGCGCGTGGCCATGTGAGAGCATTTCGAGAGGGTGAGCCGACTGTCCCCACCCTCGACCGTACTAGGTAATATGGGGGCTCAGATCATCGCTTATTGACTTCATCAATTGATGCTACGTCTTTATTTCTTCACCTTTACATTTCCCTTTCCCATATACTAATCACCTTTGCACTGGGATATATGATACGTATATTTAAATCATCTGAATGTTAAGAAATTTAAGAACATAGTACATCGAAGGTAATCGCTTTTCTTAAGTGTATCAGTTGTTTCACTGACCTCTATGAAGACCAAGGTGGTCTCTGAACTCTTGTATTGATGAATACACTGAACGCATATGTTCTATTGTGCTGTTCCATAGTCATTTCATTGTCCATATAATGAACTGAATTCAGTTTAAGTCTCTGTGCACGAGATTCTAGTAAGACGTGACATAATTATAAGATAGCTGAAGTGCTTGACTTTCAGGTATATTTTAAACAGTAGAAATAGTGATGGAAAAATGTATGTTTCTATAAGTGATTAGTATTTTAAAGGTATTAAGATTAATATACCCATCACTTTTAGCAAATAAGGTTTATATAACCTTAGTTTATATATTTACTTGATGGACAAGTGCAATTCTAACATCTCTCCCTCTAAATGCAAGTTGTTGCTTCAGGACTGGTCTGCGTCAACACCTGAACTAAGGATAGGGAGTGAAGTAGTCGAACGCGTTAACAACTTCACTTCCTGTATTATATCCTTATACACAATCTTTCTTTTATATATTACTACCTTTGAAGTGACTACTTCTATGAATCTGGTGTTCATGTTGTTGTGCTAATGCGGTATGGCAACTTGAACGAATGCACATATGTGCCTGGTCCTACGTTGCAGCTGACTGACTGATTCTAACATCTGATTTCATAGATATACTTTCCTTACTAAATAGTAAATCATTTGGTTTAAATTAACCAAAGGATATAATCTCCTAATCATATTATTATATAATCATTGTAATCATTATCAACACTTTCATAGATTGTTTATTATAAGACTCAGCTTTTTTTACAGACTCAATTTCTTTGAAATCATTGCATACAAAATGTTGTGAGTTGTTCTTTTGTTTTGTATTACCTTTTCCCCTGCCCCCCTTACCTAATATATACAATAATGCTTTATGCACTTTCCTTACTGTTTAAACATTACTATTGTTCCTAACTTATTAACTTGTCTAACATAAAGAATTTATAATCATATTATAGTTTTCTTTGATTTTTTATTTGTTTTTTGCTACTGGTGTTTTATTTTTATTCATTTGAAGTGATAACTAATAAAAATAAAAGGTGAATAGTTTTATTTCTTGATCCCTTCCATGATCGATCTATCGATAAGGTGGTTTCATTATTGGGGTTGTGTAGATTATTAATTTTTTTGATTGAGATCATGAATCGACTGATGTTAGACCACCGTTGGAAATCTGGAAGCACTGGACGGCCGTTTTGTCCTAGTGTGGGATTCCTTAGCAGTGGGCATCTCTCGAGTGGGATTGTGGATACGCACTGCTGAGGTATCTCATACTAGGACAAAACAACCATCCAGTGCTTCCAGGTTTCCAACGATGGTCTAACATCAGTCGATTCATGATAAGCTTTCAGGCTATAACTTTGTTTAGATATTTCTTAATCCTATTTAGAGATTGTTTTAAAGTTGATTAACCTTTTTTAGTTTTGTTGTTGTTGTTGTTGTTGTGAAATTGATAATCTTTAGAAAACTTTGCCAAGTGTAAGTTTATCTATTCAGCTCTAATCTGTAACAGTTTTATTTCATTCTCTTAGAGTATCTGTCTAATTAACCCTAGAATTATATCTATTCCAAAAATAATTCTTCTTAAACTTTTTTAATTTTATCTTGTGTAGTGTGTTTAGGTACATTACACGATTAGTTTTAGCGAAAAATATGACATTAACAAGGATCTAGAAAAGTTCAATTCAAAAGACCCTGTTACACTAAAAATATACTTTTTTGTATGTGGGCTAGTGATACAATCCAGTTACGTAAAATATGAAAAAATAGGTTTGAAGTTACTCCTCGATGACTCAGTGGTTTAGTCGTTAGACCATCTCTCCTTATTATATATTGTAAAAACTTCTATTTCCTCCATGTTAATACTTAAAAGCGAATTCGATTAATCCCTTTTATTTGGTCTTCAACGGATACTTCATAGTAGATTACATTTATTCTGGAGATCAGAAGTCAATTAATCAGCAACAACGTAGAACTTCGTACGTACGTACGTACATCAGTTCGAGTTGCCATACCACATTAGCACAAAGATGCAGTTGTTGATTCAAATCCCGTAGTGGTAGAGGTGGTAAGAGTATAAGCAGTATTCGGAAAAATTAGGGTTTGAAGATGTTATTCAAGAAGTATAATCTAGTGAAATAAATCTGGAAAGAGAAAAAAAAGTGACAAGGAGAATTCAGAAGATTAGAATTCGAGAAAACACAAAGAGTGGATGTACTTGCGCCATTGAAAACGATTTTGAGTCATGTCATTGAAGATCTCTATCCATCGGTTGGTATCGTCTCACGAATCCCCGGAACCAGGTAATCTACACCTACCAACATGACTCAGTCCACTTGCCAGTGACTTGATGCATTTGTGCCACGTTCTGGTCTGGTCGCCCCTAGCTTTCTTCCAACCTACTCCTATACCATAAAACATTGCACGTCAGGGCAGTCGGTGGTTGTGCATACGTAACACATGTCCCAGCCATCTCAAATCATGAAGTTTTACTACTTCATCAATTGATTTACCATCCTTACCTAAATCAGAAACAAAATAAAAGATGCAAACTTCATTGTATTTAACATGAATTAGATGTAGGTATCTAATCTAATTATCGTTCCAATCTCTAAAGGTTACTGAGTCACAATGATTTTTGAATTATAAATATATTTGTGCTATTAGTTTGCATTATTTACTAATCTCTTAACTCCTCCATAACTGTATTTCTTATCCACGTTTATTTTAACTTTTCAATTATTACACTTTATAAAGTGAGAAGTTTCCTAACTTTTAATATTTTACCGTATTGTGTTATGTTCTTTTGTGTGTGTGTGTGTGTGTGACTTGTTTTTTTGTTGACAATCAATGGACGAGACTATAATCTATGAATGAACCAATCAGATTTATCATATTAGGTCTTAGATTTTGGCGTGAAATTCATTCACCCTTGGCATGATAGCTAATGTCAGTTCATTATGAAAACTCTCACACTGGTTTATATTCTTCATTTAGCCCTAGTAAGTACATAGACACTCTCAAGGTCAATTTAGCGTCACTCAAAGGTTCTCCATAAATTATTGGTTGATCACTAATTTCTTTCTTTTTTTTTAGCTAGATCTATTAAAATACTTTTATAAGAAGGGGTTTTGTGGAGATTTTAGAAATTTCACTGGTTGAAATCGTGGATTGGTTGAAGTTAGACATTAACACCGTTGGATGCTGGCTCCGTGGTATAGTGGTTAAGCGCTCGAACGCGAGACTGATAGGTGTTAAGTTTGAATCTCGAGAGGCTGGATCATGGATGCGCACTGCTGAGTAGTCCCACAATAGGACGAGTTAGCCATCCAGTGCTTCCAGGTTTCCCATGTTGGTCTAGCTTCAACTGAATCATGATCTCAACTATTGAAATTATAAATATGTGTTCATACAATTCTGAAGTTAGTTTTCACTACAAATAAAAATGAACTTCGTTAAATTTTCTACTTCACTCTGTTCTTAGAAATATCATAGAAGAAGAAGAAGAATAGAATTGTTCAAGCTATTAGCATTAGGCTGCTAGGTTACAATATTTGATTATACAATATACACACTCACCTAATTATTCTATCATCCAGTCACAAATCAAATGACAACTAAAACAACATACAATGCAGTACAGTCAATAGGTGGAATACATTTTACAACATAGGATATATAGATTTGTTTAAGGTGTTCATATCTATCTACAGTTATTAATCAGTCATAACTTACTCTGATTAAGAATATCAGGAAATATTAACCAAATTTATTGATTTAAATGCGTATCTTGCTCATCACATTAGGTACAAGTCCTATGGTATAAAAATTATGAATACATACTGCTAAAGACAAAAAATCTATTCTCTAAATGATGTCTGTGTTTTCAGAAAAAAGAACTGATCTCATATTAAATTTTAATCGTTATTTCTTATAGTTAGTTTGTTATGTAATAATGAACTTCACATTATTTCAGAATAACATATCGATTTTAACAGTAATTACATAATCCCATTTACATAACTCTGTATAGTTCAACTGTTTTCATTTCTAATAATTTACTAGTTTTGTGCATAAAGCTCTTAGGTTGTATCAATGTGTTTTGAAATTTAAAAAAAAATGGTTAAGCACTCGCGCGACGATAGGTCTTGGGTTCGAGTCTCGCGGGAGGCGGGATCGTGGATACGCACTGCTGAGGAGTCCCACAATAGGACGAAGCGACCGTCCAGTGTTTCCAGGTTTTCCATGGTGGTCTAGCTTTAATTGACTCATGATTTCAACTATTGAAATATTTTGTCTTTAATCCACAATTTTCTTAATACTATCTTGTTAGATAATGATGAAGAAGAGGACGTAGAAATCGATATTGAAACGATGGAACCGGTACAAGCTCTACTAAGCAGGTAAACGGGTATTATTAATTGATTAGTGTTTATTTTCTATTGGTAATAATTTCAATGATGGTCTAACATCAATCGGTTCCTGATCTCAATCAAAAAATTAATAATCTCTACAACCCTTATACTGATAATTATCATGTGCACACTACTGACTAGCTTCATGAGGGAGTTTTCAGATTTCTAGTGAGAACCGTGACCAGTGGAGCTAATCTGTGTCGGGTAGAGACAGGTATCTATCTCAGTACATTGGAAAATGGTCGCGCGATTTCGTGGATTGGTTGAGGTTAGATATTAACACCATTGGTTGCTGCATTAGTGGTCCAGTAGGTTGAGAGTCCGCGCGCGAAACTGAAGGCCCTGGGTTCGGATCCCGCTAAAGGGACCGTGGATGCTCACTGCTGAGGAGTCCCACAATAGGAAGAAACGGCCGTCCAGTACTTCCAGGTTTTCAATGGTGGTCTAACATCAATTGGTTCATGATCTCAATCAAAAAATAATGGTAGAATTTAATAGTTGAATTCATGAGCCATTTGAAATTAGACCATCATGGTAAACCTGGAAGCACTGGACAGCCGTTTCATCCTAGTATGGGACTTCTCAGCAATGCGCATTACTTAACATTTGTATATGGTTAGTCCATCATATATCGAGGATTACCGACAGTGAAATATGAAGTTAAACCAAATGAAATAAAATAAATGTCCCGGTTTCTAATTATTTATTTTATTTAGACACAAATATTGGTACAAAAAGGCATCAAAATATATATGTGCTGCATAATAAATCATTGGGCTTGTGTGTGGGCTGGAATACTGCTCGGGTGTCTAAACCGAAGCAAGTGGTTCTCATAGGGAACCACTCTCCACGCCAAAAGGTAGAGCAAAAACGTTAGGAAATGTAGTCTCATGAAAGCCAATGACCAAGAATATGTTCATATGTTATTTGTCCCCTCAGGATACTGTAACATCTATACATCATTGGTTTCGAATCAGGATTCTTCATCTCCCCTAAGTAGATCCACCATAGCCACCAACTCAGTTTATGTGCCAGACCCTCTCTTTTCTTCCTATTGGTTTCGTAAACACCCCTGCTGTGAGGTAGTTAGTAGGGCTTGTCTGGCAGTCACTATACACGCTTAGCTATATGAGAAATCATTTTGAAAGGGAAAGCGGACTCTCCATCGGCTGTATTAGGGCATTTTGGGGGCAACTAGTCGTTATTTAATATATGTACTCTTTGTACATCTACCCTCATGATGATGTACTCTTTTTTCATTATAAATGCCACCTTTTATAATCACTTATAGTGAGCTTCTATCTAAGGTACCTATATCAAGTGTTGGTTGAAAATATTCGCCTTCCCTTTTTATTCGTATTTTGGAGACAACGCTGTCTCGATTTCCTATCTTAAATTTTGTGTATCTAACAGTAGATTCAAACATGTTGCCGGAAAAAAAGTAACCTAGTGTTATAAATTGATTAAATTACAATATAGAAATTGTCACATATGTGTTGTTGTTGTTATTGTTGTTGTTGTTAATCTTTTGATCTCATGATGATTGATTTTCAAGATCGATTTATGTCTACATTTAATTGGGAAATTTTCAGAGGGCGCTTAACACTTGTTGTAAAAAAAAATCCAATTCATGGATTCAGTGATTCGCGATTCACATCATAATGTTTTAACTATCGAATGAAATATCCTGAATTTAGACACAGATTATTAGGATGAGTTGGCAAATTGGTTGATGAGCTAATGAGTCTTCATCAACTGAGGTGGTTGGGATAAGCCGAACCACTGCCAACCTCAATGTGCAAGATGCTTACTGGTATAAAGATAATTTGATAACCAAGTCATAATATTATATCATTCCATTATGTTATTGGCTGTTAGTTGATTTAGACTACCTAATTAGGTTCTACGCAATTCTAATAATTAATGGTTTGGGAAGTAGGGTAAAAATGTGTCGGGACCGGTCTCAGTGGAGAAGATGCGTTCACTCTTCACCCTTCCTTCAATCATGAATTTTTTTCTTACACCTATTCAATAGATTTACCTTCTGGCATCTTATTGTTTATGTCTAATCCTTTCAACTATCATTGGCTTTGTTGCTATTTATTTATTTCAACACATAAATATTGGTACAAAGGGGTACCAAATACATATGCGCCGCACGAGTCACTTGATATGTGTGTGGGCTGTGATACTCCTTGGGTTCCCAAACCAAAGCAGGTAATTTTCTCAGGAGGCCACACCCCGGGCATTCAACCTAAAGGTCTAATCTACAAAGTAGTCGAGCAACGTCAAGAGATTCGGTCCGATTGTAGCCGGTGACCAGTAATTGGTTCATACAACATTTGTTCCCCTAGGGTCCTGGGGCACATGTGCACCATTGATTTTAATCCAACGTTTTTATACTCCCATAAGTGGATCCTCCACATCCACTGTAAGGACTTGAGGAAGCTCAGAAAGAGCTGAAGGCATTCCATCCAATCATCTTTTGGAAGAGTATTCCAGAAAATCTACATGTGGCCTCCCTATTGGACAAATGCCGAACACCCTTGTATGCGGATTGGATGACTATGATGATTTCGTTTTTACTAAAAACTATAAATACCTGAGGGTTTTGTAACATATTTGACAGTTTGGAATAGCATTCCTTTCACTTGTCTTCTATCTTCTCATTTACGACTTGGAGGGTTCTAGCAATGCGGTCATTTGAGAGCGTTTTGAGAGGGAGAGCAGATTGTCTCCACCCTCGACCGTACCAGGGAATTTGGGGGCGTCGCTATTTCTACTACTCTGGTATTTTTATTTATATTTTTACCCTGCTGCACTAATGGAGTAAAGCAACTTGAATCGATGTGCACATTTGCCAGGTTCTACACTATATTTGACTAACTAACTGATTGGTTACTAGATTATTAGAATATCTCAACTTCAATTCATATGTAATTGTTTTATTATGATATCAAATCAATATATTTATATCCAATTTATTGAAGGTAAGTTATATAAATCCCCTCCATCTGTTTAAAACTAAATAATATTATGGTTTAAACAAATTAAACCATTATCAATGTACAAACTAAAATTAGCTCATCATATTACACATATACATGTGTAGCTGAAATTTCATGGTCTTAAGAGTACTGATGTTCTTTAGGGAGGTTTAGCCTTCCGTCATCCAGTTTCACAATATGATATGTTACCACTAAATTATTTGATCTTCAACTGATTTATCAGGTCAATTAGATCAGTTGCCTGTATTGCAACTTGTTCGTTTCAATTCAGTCAGTGAAAAGGACTAGACAAATACCAAATTAATGTAGATATATTTATATATACTTTAATGACTGATAGTATTCTTTCAACCATCTTCAAGTTGATAAGGATAAGTTAGTTTTTCTTAAGATGGAGATAATAGCGGTGACATACTTACTTACTTACTCCTGTTACCCCTCGTGAAGGAGCATAGGCCTCCCACCAGCATTTTCCATCCAACCCTGTCCTGGGCAATCCTTTCCAGCGGTGACATAGTTAAGTGTTAAATGCAAATGCTGACTTATTCTCATGTATTGTGATACTTTAGAAAAAAACTATTCTGTATAGGTGATTTTTTAATGAACTCCCCACACATAAACCACTGTGATGTCCGTCCTGTTCAATGTTTTATAAATCACATTACAAACAGACATTTGTTTTATTCCATCAATGATTTATATAAACCATCATTTGAATGAATATTGTAATTATAATTTCAGTGATGAAGACGGAGAATGTGAAGATATTCTAATGTATTTATCCATTTCTCCAGAAGTGGATAATCCAGATGATTTATCTGGTGGAGAAGAATCTGTCAGTACACAGAATTCTGAACGACCAACAACTGGTTTATCAAGTAGAAAACGTCCTGATTCTCCATCGATTCAATCTAATGGACCATTATCGAAGCATTCAAAATCATTAGATCAAACTCAATCTATACCACCGACAGTTTCAATTCATTTACCCGGTGCACAAAGTGATGAGGTAGGATTAGTTATTGATTAGACTTTCTTTAATTGATTTAATTCTGACATAAAAGAGCCAATTTATATATTCACTGCTAGTATAGATGTTTGTGCTATTAATATTACTAATGTACCTAATCTAAAACCAAGGAGCACTGAACAATTGTTTCATCCTACTATGGGACTTCCCAGCAGTGTACATCTGGTAAACAATCATACTCATCATAATTTTTTTTGATCCACATAGACTAATTAACTTTCCTAATAGTAGTGTGTTGTGGAGACACATAGGTAGTATGTTTCAATAGTTGAAATCATGAGTCAATCGAAGCTAGACCACCATGAAAAACGTGAAAGTATGGGACTCTACAGTGATCTAGTTTGTTAAGCACCTGGCGCCAGACTGATAGGTCCTGGGTTCGAATCTCGCGGGGGGCGGGATCGTGGATGCGCACTGCCAAGGAGGAGTCCCATACTAGGACGAAACGGCCGTCCAGTGCTTCCAGGTTTTCCATGGTGGTCTAGCTTTAATTGATTCATGATTTCAACTGTTGAAATTACCAATCCTCCACAATACCCCTTCTGATAGGTAGTATGTAGCAGGAATAGGAAGTGAAATGCTTACCGGCAGAAGATTGAAATAAAGTGAAGAGGAAGAAAAACTAATCGTAATCAGAATACCAACAGGATTGAAAGAATGTTGGACAATCGAAGAAAGATGTGCAAATAATGTATTTAATTTATGATTTTCATATTTTTACAAAGCCACCGCGTGATTTTGCATAAAACAATAGATTGCTTTACCATACCTGAATCTTCGTTCACAACAGTAATGGTGTCTAGTTTTATAGCAGTCAAAGTCAAGGAACAAGACTGTCACATTTCACTCAAAAATACCCCATTCTCATTCATTCATTTCTGGATGCCAAGAAATTCTTGATGTGTACATATTTCACATCAATTGCTTTAATTCCCTTTGATTATTTTTTTCTTATTTTGTGTTGATGTTCATCTGATTAGTAGTCGTTATTTAGAATTATTTACTTAAGCCTGTTACCCCTCCTGGAGGAGCGTAGACCGCCCACCACTATTCTCCATCAAACTCTGTCTTTGACAATCCAGTTACTATTCATCCTTTTGATTATCTGCTTCCATTTCTCGACACTGTGTGTTCTTTGGCCTTCCTCTTTTCTGTTTCTCTTCTAGATTTCAAGTTATTGCTTGCTTCGTGATGCAGTTTGATGATTTGCGTAATGTATGTCCTATCCATTTCCACATATTTTCCTAATTGTCTCTTCATCTGGAAGCTGTTTTTTTCTTTCCCACAGTAGGCTGTTGCTGATGGTATCCAGCCATTGGATATTGATTATCTTACGTTGATATTTGTTTATAAATACTTGTAATGTTTCGAAAATGGTTATGGTAGTTACGATGTTTCAGCTCCGTACAGTAGAATTGTCTCGACGTTCGCATAGAAGATTCTCACTTTGATATTGGTTGACAATTGTTTTGAGTTCCATATATTCTTGAACTGTGGGAATTCCGCCCTTACTTCGCCGACCCTTGTCTTTACGTCTGCATAAGATTATGGACATAACTTTAGAACAGTAAATCGTATAATAGTAGTCTATAGGTTAAAAAAGAACTTATATTAAGAGGAATATGGTTATACATAATATAGTTACTGAAGAGTTATATAATAAGAATATATGTATAATGTTTGTCCATAGTTAGTTTTCAAAAGTTACCTGTAATTTAATCTTCACTAGGATATAACACTGTGTTGTATTTGAGGATCTTACTTTTTCTCTTGTGTATGTTGAGGCCTACCGATTCAGAGACTTCTGCTTCACTGATTGTCTTGACCTGCATCTGTTGGTGCGTATAGGATAGAAGGGCCAGGTCATCTACAAAGTCCATATCGTCTAGATGTATTCAACCTGTCTATTCCGTGTCTCTCCTCAGATGTGGAGGTCTTCATAATCCAGTGAACCACCAGAAGAAAGAGAAGTAGATAGAGTAATCAGACTTGTCTGACGCCCGCTCTCACTTGGAATGTTTCTATCAGCTGTCCTCCATGCACCACTTTGCAGCGTAGTCCGTCGCATGTATTCCTTGTGATATTGACCATCTTCTCAGGTGTATCATAGTGTCACACAAGGTTCCATAAAGTTCTCCTATGTACACTGTCAAACTTTTCATAATCGATGAAGTTGATGTATAGTGACGAGCCCCGCTCAATTGATTGTCCAACAATGATCTGTAGTGTGGCTGTTTGGTCTGTGCATGATCGATCCTTACGGAATCCAGACTGTTGATCTCGAAGTTGGGCGTCTACCGCGTCGTTCAACCGGTTCAGCAACATTGAAGACTTTACGTGGTACTAACATTAGTGTGATTCCTCTCTAGTTCTCACACTTACTCAGATCTCCTTTCTTTGGAATCTTGACGAGCTGTCCTTCTTTCCAGTCCGTTGGCATTTGTTTTTCCTCCCAAATCTTCCTGAATAGAGTGTGAAGCATGTTTGCAGTTAATTCTATATGCGACTTGAGTGCTCTAGCTGGTATATTACCATGTCCTTCTGCATTCCCACTCTTGGTTTGTCTGATGGCCATCCTGATCTCTCCGATCGTTGGTGGAGTGACATCTACGGGAAGGTGTGTAGGTGCTGCTTCGATGTACGGTGGATTCACTGGAGCTGGTCTATTCAACAGTTCCTCGAAGTATTCTACCCATCTCTTTCTGTTGTTGAATCTCAGCAATTGTCCTGCTTTATTTGTCCGTAACCTGTCTCTCTCGTTTCTATATTTCCCTGCCAGTTTCTTCGTTGTTTCATATTTCCTTCTCTTGCAGCTTTTTCCGCCTCCGTTGCTAGTTTTTCCACGTATTTCTGCTTGTCGGCTTTAATGCTCCTCTTCAATTGCTTGTTTGCTTCTATGTACTCAGCTTGTGCTTGGACTTTATTTCCTCATGTTCTGCAGCTTTTAATTGCTGTGTTTTTGTTCTTCCTTTCTTGAATCTTGTCCAGGATTTCCATAGAGATCCATTCCTTATGATGATGTTTCTTGAGGCCCAAAACCTTTTGATATGCTGATGTTAATGCTTTGATACCTTTCCAGTTGTCCTACATAGTGGTTTCTTCTTCTTACAGTCGATCTTGTGGGGCTTGGAACCTGTTGTTGAGAGCTTTTTTGAATTGGTTGATTTTGTGAATATCTCGAAGGAAGGCTGTATTGAACCGTTTGTCCAGCGTTTCTTCAGCTTCAATGTAATCAAATTTTTGCTGAGATCATGAACCGATCAATGTTAAACCACCATTGAAAACCTGGAAGTAGTGGATGGTCGTTTCATCCTAGCATGGGACTGTTCATCAGTGCACAATCACGATCCCTCACGCGGGACTCGAACCCAAGACCTTTGGTCTCGCGTGCGAGCGTTCAACCTCTATACCACTGGGCAGGGATCCGACAGTGTTAATGTCTATTTCAACCAATCTACCATCTTCAGTTTTCCTCGGTGGGTAACTGCCCTACACTCGATGTGGTTGAACTCCACTGGTCACGGTTTCTCACTGGAACTCCGAGAATTACCTCTCGAAGGTAGTGACTAGTGAGCAAATGATACTTATCACGATGTCAATAAAAATCCAACAGCGTTTACAACTTCATCCTGATACGTTTATCACGTAATCAAATGAAAGGGATATAGTGGACAACTCTGAAGAACAATATTTGAGGTTGACTATACGCTCTTACTCGACTAGTAGGTTGCGATTTTAGTGATTATATACTTATTTAGTACTCCTTTTAGTGAGAAACACTTCCTCAGAACCTCTCCATCAACGGAATCGAACGCTGTCTAGAGGTCAACTATACTCGGGTGCCATTATCTCAATGTTTTAGAACTTGAAAAAATGGTCAGTTTTCTTCCCATCGAAATTCAATCGACTTTCTTACTAACTAGATAACTTTTGCAGAATAAAAACAACAATCATAAACTTCTACAATGAGTATTTTTTCATCCTGGATTTATCTATTTTATTGTCAAATATGTTAGTTATATCAAACATCACTCATCTATTTTACACCTATCTGTAATAATTTAGAATATCCTCATAGACTATTCAAAAGTATTAAGTACATAATTATTGTATTTCTAATAAGTCTTGCAATTTGAATGCTATACTCGATTCCTAAGCTATTCTTGAACACCCACCCCCCTAGCTGGAACTATACAGCGACCTGAACACGAGAGAGAAAGCTCAAAGTATGCGAAAAGTACGTTACTCCAAGGTTCATTTTAATACAGAAAATATAAGGTTTTTATAATATTTTAAATGTCCATGGGTTGCTTAAAGATTCTGGAATGCTACTAAAAGCATAGTAGCAGTACAACAACCAGCCAATCAAAACCTCTACATGTAACGTTTCACATCCTTGATGTTTCTGGCTAAAACTTCAAGTGAACGCTGATTGGATAAAATGCTTCTTAATGTTTCCTGATCCTTGCGTGTTTTTTTTTTGCGAAAAATTTTCTGGATCATCCCAACAATTTCACAATCAAAATAAAGTATGTATGTGTGGATACATCTTGTTGTGCTAATAAATTATGACAAGTGGGATCGATGCACAGATATACCCGACCCTACATTGTAGCTGACTGACTCTGTATCTTTCTTTCTTCCTGTACTATCTCCTTATATGCAATCTTTCTTATATATATTACTACCATTGAATTAACTACTTCTGTGAAACCGGTGTTCATCTTGTTGTGCTAATGAGTAAGGTGTGGCAACTTGGACCGATGTACATATGTACCTGGACGTACGTTCTGTAGTTAACTAACTGATGTATGTGTATAAATTATCAATGAACTATAGAAAATATTTTTCGCATCATTTACACTTTCATTTTCTTTCTTTCTTTCTTTTAAAAAACAAACAAACTTGTTCTCAAGGTTCATCCACTTGTTGGTAGTCGTAAACCATCCGTTAAATCTATCTCAGGTACTAATCATCACCATCATCATCATGATTCATCGACCAAATATACCAATCAATCATCATTAACTAATTCAACAACATATGGATTAAATAATTCACGTAAAAATAATACACGTCAACGTGATCGTGTAAAATCAAGGAAATGAATATTATTCATTTGTATGTAACATTATTATTTGTATATTGAATACAATTTTCTCTTTATTTATATCCTTGAAATGTGTAGTATTTGAAATGGTGAAGAAGATTTGTAGCTCCGGTAGATGATTTTGATGGAGTTTTGTTCTCTGAGCTGGATGATCGTTTGGTTGTGCAGGTTTCATTGTTCTTCTTCTGAACGATATCATCATCATCATCATCAGCAGCAAAAACAAATTTCAGATAGAAGTTTGTTTTGATGATGTCGTTCAGAAGAAGAACAATGAAACCTGCACAATCAAACGGTCATCCAGCTCAGAGAACAGAACTTCATCAAAATGTATAGTATGTTTGTTTCGTTAGTTATTCTTCACACAATTTACATGCTTATATCGTTACCATTTGTAAACTGTTCAAATTCTTCATGTACATTGTTATTATTATCATTATTATACACTGTTAAATATATACATCGCTTATAAAGTTGTTAATGAGGTTAATCCTTTAGATTAAATGATAGAGATCGTTTTTTTCTTTTTTGTCATCCTATTTCGTAGCATAAATGAGAGGAAATCAAACATTGTAAAATGATTTTGTATTATGTAAATGTGACGTTTATCCATTTGATATAACATCAACCACTATCTTTCAGTTTGTGTAATAATGAATCAATCAATCGAAAAACAAAATATATTACCGATATTCTTAGAAAAGTTTCCATTATTGACTGATTTCAATTAATGTGAACAATTATTGATAATTCATAATCATTGGAGAATCAGTAATTGACTTTATTGTACATCAATGAAATGAACTGAATAGTATAGAGAGTTCAAGGTTTTGAATGTAAATTGCAAAATGTTCTTTATCATTAAGTGGTTTTGTAAACATTACACGTGTCATTTAGAATTATTTATTTTAACACATAGATATTGGTACAAGGAGGCATCAAATATATATGCGCCACACAGATCTCATTTGATATGTGGGAGGGCTGTGATACTGCCCCGGTGCCCAAACCAAAGCAGGTGATTTTCTTAGGGGGCCACATTCCGAGCCTTTGATCTGATCCACAAGGCAGTGGAGATTTGTAAGGAGATGCAGTCCCATGGTAGCCGGTGACCAACCATTGGTTCATACGCCATTCGTTCCCTCAGGATACTGGAGCCCATGTGCACCATTGGTTTTGGATCAGGTTAAAGCACCGGACATTCGCTTTTCGTCCTCTCATTTTCGTAAACAGCACTTGTGGTACGAGAAGGCAGTGAGTAGGACTTCCTTGTCAAAGGCTGTATACGCGTGGCCATGTGAGAGTATTTCGAGAGAGCTGACTCTCCCCATTCTCGGCCATACCAGGGCATTTGGGGGCGCCATTTAGAATAACATAACTCAGTTACGACTCAAAACTCATCCAACAATATACTTAAAACGTCTGACCGCGTAGCGACGTAGTTAAGGAATTACAATTTCTGGATATTTCAGTCATAAGTGATACAAACCAGAGTAACAATTAGTGACAAATTGGAAATGGTAAAACAAATAAGATTTGTGGATCAAACAAACGCCTAGAAATAGTCTCTAAAGTTATACTTCCGCATCATTTATGCTATTATATCTAAACTGTCTTACATCTGTTGACTCAAAGTGTTATATGTCCGCCTAATGTGCCTTACATCACAGAAGCAATATCTTTGAGTGCGTACTGCTTTATCCAAAAATAGCTTGTTTATAGTAACCGGCTTGATGGATTTTAATTTTTATAACTAAGAACACTGACTGTAGATAACACCCCATATGGCCTTCGTATGCTAAGCTTACTGTTTAAATGCTAACAGCATTCCGAAATTTCAGTAAATAGGTCGATTATTGTAACTTAATTAGTTGAAAGTCGATGTACTAATGATAACACTAAAACTTAATCACAAAGTGTAATTTTTATGTTTCTAACCTAGAGTCAAATTATGTGACTACAAATAATAATATTCGCTGTGCAAACCAAAACGAAGATGGTTTGGAATTTATGGGTTAAAATTCTTACGTTTATAACAACTACATTGTTGCGGTATAGTGTTTTCCTGTCAATATTGAAGATAAGACACTAATTGCATCATAATTATAACGTGAATAGGATACAGAAATTGTTAGACATAGATAATAATAAGAACTACAAATCAAAGATGTCCTAAGTACTATGATGTATCCTTCTTCAACTCGATTATTCAATAGATATTAATGCGAATTAATTGGCACACGTGAGTAAATACTACTTTACTCTATTTATTTATTTGAACACATCGTCGTACAAAGAAGCACCTAATGCATATGCGCCACACAATTTACTTAATTTGTGTGTGGACTGTGATACTGCCCAGGTGCCGAAACCGAAACAGGTAGTTTTCTTAGGTGGCCACACACAGAGTCTTTAACCTACAAGTCTGATCCACAAGATAGTTGAATAACGTCAGGAGATGCAGTCCTATGGTGGCCGATGACCAACGACAGGTTCCCACGCCATTTGTTCCCTCAGGATCCTGGAGCTAACATGTGCACCATAGGTTTGTAATCAGGGTTTTCCAACTTCTCTAGGTAGATCCTTTATATCCACCAACCCGGTTAAAGCGTCGCACATTTGCTCTTCGTCCTCTCAATTGTGTAAACAACATTTGTAGTGCGAGAAAGCAGTGAGTAGGACTTTTCTGTGATCATTTGAGAGCATTTCGAGAGGGAAAACTGACTCTCCCCACCCTCGGTCTTACTAGGGCATTTAGAGGTCCCTTACACTAATAGGAATCCAAACAACTTTTTCATCTGTTTTATAACTCCCATAAAAAAAACTATTAATCTATTGTTAACTGTTACATCATCTATTTCGACTAAATATAATTAAATCTAATAGAAATCCAACTTGCATTGATATAATATGTATATATATATATATATATATTTGATTATAAAAGACAGAATTTGGGAAACTCTTCGTAATATATATATATATATATATATATATATATATATATATATATATATATGTGTGTGCATTTGTAACAGAAAGAAGCATAACAATAAGGAAAAGACAATGAAAAGGTAGTGTGGTTTTTTTTTTTCTTAAATATATTTTCTCAGAATGTACAAATCATAGGATAAGCTGTTCATTGGAAATAGAGGATCATTTGAATTGAACCTGAAATTTTTTTAAAAACAAAACAAAACAAAACAAGAATATTATCACAAATCTTGACAAATATATATGTTTTATACTCCAAGAATGTGATCTGAAATTGTTGACAATTAATTGAAATCAATTATTTAGTTAATGTGATCCACAAACAAGATCATATTTTGTCCCTGTCATAAATAAGATTGCGTATATACTACTTTAACTCCACCTGAAGTCCCTTCGAGGGCTATTGCCGGTCCCATGCCCGGTTAGCGACCTTACCCCGTAGAAAACTAACTCGCACCAAAAAAAAAGCGCTAACCAGAAAAATTATATACTACTTTAACATTTAGGTTAACGGCATATGTATTTTTTTTTCGTTTGACATGATGTTGTGTTACTGAGTCTCATCATAGTAATCGTAGCATACATAATCAAGTTCAATATATACAAACACAGAAACAATAACGAAAACAATACTAAGCTGAAGCATCTGATTGAATTTAGTGGTTTAATACTCCACTAATAATCATTAATTATTTATTGAAAATTGAATAACACTTCGGAATTCAAAATTGTTGATCTCCAGTTCAAACAGTTATGTACATAACGTCCAGTCACAATTCAGCGGATGATGCTGAATAGAAGATAATCGAAATATTCATCGTATGCTAATTTGTCTTGTTCAGAGAATAGTTTCAGTTGAGTAGGATATATTTTTAGCCGTTAGGGGGGATTTGTTCATTTCAAAAGAAAGAATAATCAATAATCATTTCAGGATATTATCTGGTTGGCAAGATTTTTTGCTACGGGACGGAGTGGCCGACCCCCCTCCTTTCAGTCAATCAGAGGGTGGTTGATTATGAATACAGTGGTCTTCAGTGCTGTTAAAAGTATGAGGGCGGTTATCACTTCCCGGTTGCCCATACCGTGGAAGGGTTCTGCTGGAGGTACCTGAAAAGGAAATTGGATAGAGGTGGTCTTAGTGACCTGATAGCGTGACCGCAGTGCCCAAGGGACAACTGCTTGAGGTCGGTCACACACAACCTTTTTAAGAGTTTTTGTGTTAGCTCCGTACTTGTTGAGACCTTACCGCCGGAGACGGATATCTGTGGGATAAGGCGAGATGTGTATTTTTAGGGTCGACCCTTTCTAACCCCACCCCTCCTTGTGGGAAGGCAGCATCGCTGTTATGCTGGTTGTCTGAAGGAAACATCTTACTGCTGTCACACGCCTGTACAGTCAGCAGTACGACTTCGCCTTCGGACCCCCTCCTTTACTTGGGCTTGGGACCGGCAGTCACTCTAGAAGAAGCACAGGTGGATTTTATATTAATAATTTCCCCCCTCTATATTTTGAGGTTTTTCTACTAGGCATAGCTTATATCCTTACTTTGATTGTAGGATTGTAACTGCTTAGTTTTTAATGACCCTGTTGTATGCGACAAGAGTAAGAGATGTTTTAAAACGTTTATTTAAACATAATAGTCGTACGACTAAACTAGATTATGTAAAGAACGACTGTTAAGAGGGAGAGGATGGATAGTGACAAATAAAACAGAAAAGTTATATGAAAAGAAATGGTTAACAAAAGAAAAATATTTACATTTTTCTTTTATCCTGAAGGAGAAGCTTGAATAGTTGTAGTTGTATGAGACAAATTTGAATTGGAAACAGAAGAACCTGTTGAATTAGTTGTATTTTTTAATTTTCGAATTTCTTTTGTAGCCCAAACTGCTAAATTTTTAGTTCGAGATGCTTTAGCACGTCTGCCTCTTTGTAAAACAGAAGCAATTCCATCCACTTCAACAAGTGATAAAATACTACTACCATAAGCAGATACAAGATCACTATAGAAATGAATAAAATATAACATTTTATTGAAATGAAATTTAAAAAAAAAGTATTTTCTACATAGGCATTTGAAATATCTGTTGAATGATCTGAAATACCGTAAGACCTACGTACGAGTTTTTAATTTTAGTTTAAACTACCCCAATTGAGTATTGGTTAATGTTAGACACTAACACCATTCGATGCCGGCTCAGTGGTCCAGTAGGTTAAGCGTTCGCGCGCGAGACTGAAGGCCCTGGGTTCGAATCCCGCGGGCGGGATCGTGGATGCGCACTGCTGAGGAGTCCCATACTAGGACGAAACGGCCGTCCAGTGCTTCCAGGTTTCCAACGGTGGTTTAATATCAGTCAATTCATGATCTCAATAAAAAATTTGCTAATCTCCACAACTCCAATAATGAGTATTATATTGTTAGAACTACTTAGCTTTTCGAAGGAAAGTAGAAAAACATTCCTTCATCTGAACTACATTTAGTGAATGCGCAGACATACAATGTCCAAACAACTGTCTGCTGTACTACTTTACTGGAACTGTGACTATCTCTATATCATGAACCGATAAGATAGCTTTTCTTAATTGTGAACATAAATGACTCAGGGTTAATTCTATGAGAAAGTACAAGAACCATATGAATTAGTAATCTTTGCAAAACGCAAGTTTAGGGATGCTTGAAGATTGATATTATTTGTTATAAACACTGATATGTCCAACAATTGTTACAACTGATATTACATTGATCAACGTCGATTCAGTCGACCGACCAAATGCCATGAAATACGTTAGATACTATATTTATTTGTTGTATACCTAAACAAAGTAATCAGAATTGTGTATCTGTTTTGTATGGTACAATTAAATAAGTGTAGAATATAGAGCACGTCAGTATAAAACCTGTTTCGAAAAAAAAAGAACACTGTATTTTACAGTCGGTTAGTCAGTAACAACGTAGAACTTCGTACGCACGTACGTACATCAGTTCGAGTTGCCATACCACATTAGCACACAAATACATTTGTTAATTCAAATCCCATAGTGGTAGAGGTAGTAAGAGTATAAGCAGTAATCGGGAAAGATCAGGGTTTGAAGATGTTATTCATGGAGCATAATCCACTGAAATAAATTTGGAAAGAGAAAAAAGAAAGGGATATGAAGAATTCGGAAGAACACAAAGAGTGGATGCACCTGCGACATTGCAAACGATTTTGAGCCATGTCATTCAAGTTCTCTAACCATCGGTTGCTATCGTCTTGCAGATCCCCGAAACCAGGTAGTTTACACCTACCAACACGACTCATTCCACTTGTCTGTGACTTCAGGGATTTGTGCCATGTTTTGTTTTGGCCGCCCCTAGCTTTCTTCCAACCTACTCCTACGGCACAAAACATCGCACGTTGGGGCAGTCGGTGGTTTGGCATACGTAACACATGTCCCAGCCATCTCAACTGATGAAGCTTCACTAGTTCATCAATTGATTTGCTATCCTTATCTAGTACCCGTTTGCTAACAACTGAGTTACTTACTCGCTCGTCCCAGGATATACGAGCAATGTTTCGAAGACACCTATGATCGAATACTAGTAACCTAAGCCTATCCTCTTCTCTTATCGGACATGAACTGCTGCGCAGTAAACACGTCCTTTGGTTGATAGACGGATATCTCGCCTACGCCATAAATGACGCAAGTTGGCAAAAACTAGTCGAGCCCTCTCTATCCGTGCTGAGATATCGTCACACACCAGACCACAAGGGCTGATGAAACTTTCCAGATAAGTGGAGCGGTCGACACGCTCACTACTTCACAGATGGAGAAACCCACGAATGAATAATTGTAACGACATAATGAGCTATATTATCAGATAGTTATTATCAGTTTACTTGAATGCAATAAAAACATATTCTAAACAATGTTTAAGGTAGAGTTTGTAACTATTCATGATGGAATAAAATAGTATTCAGTTTAATCAGCTTTTTTTCGAGCTTTGACAACAAGATCAGCTACTATTTCAACAAATTTGTTCTTTTCATAAAGCTGATTTTCTGCTATGTTGATTCCTCTTCATAGGTTACATAAGGTGCCAACTAATTGCATCCAGGATGATGTACATGACGTCGTAAGTTTATCCTTCATGAATTAAAGTGTAACAATCTAAAGAAATCTCATTCAATTTGTTAAATGGTCAAATAAATAAGTTCACAACTCTACAGAACATGATAGGTGGTAATATTTGAACTACGTTGTGAAAACGACTGTCCTTACCTATGTACACAGTATAATGTACAACAAAGTTGACTCACCCGATCAGTCCACATGAAGCAGATATAAGATCTTCAGTTGTGATTGAATCTGCTCCAATATGTTGGATAAATGACAATATGTGAGATACATGACTAGCGACAAATTCCAAAGCTGCGGTAGACTCTAAAATGAGATATAAATTTAAAAAAAAACATTCAAGAAATACCATCTGTTATCCCAAAATATTTTTTTTCTGGAAACAAATCAACATCATGTATAAACAACTTACGTGGTCCATCTCCCTTAAGACCTTGGATAATACCGGTATAAGCCTCCAAGCAACTAGTACGCAAGGAATTGAGATATTCAACCATATCAGGATCCTCCTAAAATAGTAAAATGTACAATTCATTGAAAAGTAAGCGATATAACCAACGATAGGCCTGATAATTTCAGAGAAGCGATTCATACAGGTTTGCGAAACGTCAAAGATTTAGTATGCTACTCATTATGATATCACAAATATATAATTTTATTATTACCAAAGGGTATGTAATGCAATGTTCTGTTGGATTATTTATACAGTCACAATTGATTCATAATGATAACACCTTTACACAATGCATAAGAATACATACTGAGCTTTGACACATTGCGTAAACTAACAATACCAACAGGCTAACTAAACGGAAGTAGGCAAAGTGCGTTTCGCATTTGCAATCTAACAATTAAAATTCGAGTATCTTATAACCAGTCAGTTAGCTACACATAGGACCAGGCATATATACATCGGTTCAAGTTGCCATACCTCGTTAACACAGCAAGATGAACACCGGGTTCATAGAAGTAGTTAATTCAAAGGTGGTAATATATAAAAGAAAGATATAAGGATATCTTATAACCATAAAAATCATTGGTATTACCTAATGATATATGCTTTTAAAACACAATAAGGTGACAACTATAGAATACATACTATTTAATAAAAATAATAATAAATTAAGTACACAAACTTTGAAACAAAACATACTAAATTGACTTCAGCTTGTGTGGCTTGACTCAATGTTTCTAAGACAATAGGAAGATATTTCCAGAACTCTGAACCCAAAGCCAAAGAGAGATCACCAAAAGTAGATAAAATAGCAGGACGAAGAGATTTGTGTGCATTTATATCCTACAGTAAAAAAAATATACAAGATAAATATGTAAAATCTATATTGTACAGCTTAATTACATAAGTATGATATAATAGGGAATGTAATAGACTCACTTGGTGTTGTTTTACTTGTATGTTCCCATTGTTACTTAGGACTACAATTGATCAGTCTCTCTCTTGTTGGCAAACACACATCCTGTGCGGATTGCTTCGATATAGCCTTAAGTCACAAGCTTTTAAGGCAAAGAAGTAAAACGCTAAGTGAATTCAATCTTCCACCCCATTGCACAAACAAGTGGCTATCAGGACTCAGTAGCTAAGTGGATAACTCGATGGCGTTTGAAGCGAACGGTACTCGATTCGAGTCCCAAAGTGAACATGAACTTTGTAAATGAAGGGACAACCAGCTGACGAGTCCCAAATAGAAAGAAACGCCCGTTTTAGATTCCATTGCTAGTTACTATACATCTTTGCTTAAAATGTAACAGACATTAATTAAAACTACTAAACATATCATCAAACTATTTGATGATTTGATTGTCAACCGAATAACGTCATTTTCGTAAAAAAAAACAATTGAATCTATAGTTTCTATTTTTTTTTAGTTAAAGAATGTATTTTATCAACAACAAATCGTTTTAGTTCATACTGAAACTACATTAAAATAATCTTAAATAATCGAACAGCATTCCCCCCCCTGAATACTTAAATACGGGGATAATACCATAAAAGAATAATGTTAAACTATAAGTGAAATGTTAATAGTTGAGATTATGAATCGATTTATTCTAGACCATCATGGAAAACCTGGAAGCACCGAATGGCTATTTTATCCTATTGTAGGACTCCTCAGCAGTGCGCATCAACAAGTCCCAAAGTAGGACGAAACAACCGTCCAGTACTTCCAGGTTTTCTATGGTTGTCTAGCCTCAATTGACTCATGATCTCAACTATTAAAATTACGATAATACCCAAAAAAAAACCCTTCTGATATAAGTGAAATAATCTAACTGAATGGTTTAAAAAGTTTACAATACTTAATAATAATAATTACTATTAGTATTGATTGAAAATCCCGTGAACACATACGCTACACTACATACTTTAAACTCATCGTAAAGTGAGAAGCAGAGATACATGTCAAGAGTAATAGTCAGGACAATGAAATTAATTCATTATTAAAACCACTTAACATACATACGTAACAGAAACTCATTATTATTATTAAGAAACTTATATACGCCAGATTGATTTGGTAGGTTATCATATGACCTTGGAGTAGCAATAACAAGATTTTATTTTAAGTACATAAAATAAGGTTAATGTCAATAAAACATGCCCCACGTAATATAGGTAACATTATAACAGTGGAAGTACACTTACAGAGAATGAAGACAAAATAATAACCTGTAAGCATTGGACGGCCGTTTCGTTTTAGTATGGGACTTCTCATCAATATGCACCAACGATACGACACGCGAGACTCGAACCCACAACCACTGGTTTTGTGCGCGAACACTTCACCTTAATCAATCAATAGAGTTGCGCGTACATATTCAATTGTCTTCGGTGGGTACCTGCTTTACATCCTACATTATTTACCTACACTGGTCACTGAACTATACTATCTGCCTCGGTTTGAGCACCCGGGCAGTATCACAGCCCTCACACATATCAAATGACATCTATGTGGCGCATATGTATTTGGTACCTCCTTGTACCAATATCTATGTGTTAAAATAAATAAATACAATGGTCACGGGTTCTCACTAGTACTCCGGAAACTTTCCCTTTGAAACCAGTCACCAGTGAGTACATACTGGGACGAAACAGCCATCTAGTGCTTTCAGGTTTTTAATAGTAGTCTAATGTAGATCGGTTTATGATTTCAATGAAATTCAACAATTTGCACAACCCATACTGAGAAAATAATAAATTAACAGCAAGTGTATAGTAGAAGAAATAGTCCAGTTGATACAAACGAGACAATTTTACATTTACGAAGAATGTAATAGAAAAAAACCACTGGTTTCTGTTCCGAGCAATGTTGAATAAAGTTTGAAGCCACTGAGCGATACTATCTCTCAAACTCCAATCAGAGAGCTGTGATGAACAGACAGACGCCAGTGCTACACTGCTTTCTTGAATAACATGATAACATCACAAAATGATCACCTTTCCACTGTCCCAGAGTCAGCAATGAATGCCTGATGTAAGAAAGTCGCTGAGATGATATTCGTAACACACGTACAAGCCACTAAAGGTGTTTCAAGATAGTGACAAAAGTTGTATTACCCCCGCTGTTCCCGAACACACGTTGTCAAGCCTCAACATTACTAACATGTTGTCGCTGAATGTTAGCATTCCTTTGGAAACAACGATGATTAAATAAAGATTCGCTTAACGTCATCAACCTGGAGGCCAGCTTTCACAAATATAGAGCTAGACATGTTCTCATCGACACCCTGTAGATCCGACATTTTTATGGCCAAACATGGCTCAGATTGGCACAAGCCATTCTGACTTTTACTATAAGTGAGTTGATCACTCATGTCGCCACCAGCACTTACACAGCTATCCAAATACACGAACTTCTCGACCACTTCTAACTTCTCACTACAAAGTGTCTGTAAAGCAGCACATACGTAGAGGACCAGTTTTATTGGTCGTTCGGTCAGAAGTGAAGATCAGACAACATCATACTGGCTAGTGCCCATTAACCATATAAACAGCTCAGTTCTACATTAAATCGGTCAAAACTTGAGTAACTGAATGATAACATTTTTAATTATGATACTTGTTGATGTCGGTTGGAATCTGTTTTTAAAGATTGATGACTCAATTAGCGAATGTCAACTAGCGAGAAACCCTGGTTTTTGAGTTTCTGATGATCGCCCCCGATCACAAAGACGATAAACTTGAGGTTTCATATAAATGTTAATATGAATAGATGATCTTATCTTATTCGATGAAGAGAACTTCAGACAAATGGATATGAAATGTAACGTCAAAGTAAGCATCCATGAATATCCACCTGATATCAAAATTTGATTCAGCTGTGATCATAACTTACAGTTCGTAAAAGCTTTCTGATAAGTAAGAAAGTTAACCAACCTGTGGAATTGAGGAAGTATATAATATTATGTTTTGCAAAGGAATACACATCGTGCATATACAAAACCCACTATCGAAAATACGAGATTAGATTATCCTATATTTCACAGAAATCATAACGTACTTGTAAAATTTCCATCAGAATGGTGATAAGACCATCACAGTGTGGGAGTAAGTTCTTGTTCAGAACACGACACATATCTCCTAACAGTCCAACTGCATTCATACAAACTTGTGTTTCTCTATGATTTCGTAAACAAATTACTAAAATTGGCATGAAATCATTCACATATTTGACAAACGACTCTCCAACAGCTTCAACAAGCGCAGATACTGCAAGTAATGCATCTTCTTGCACACCATCACTGAATTTAGTCTTATCTGTTTCACCGTTGATCGCAGATTGGTCACCAGAGCCTTCAGTAACCGGTGTAGTAGTGGTTCGGAACATGGACATGAGGGCTAACATTACCTTGACAAAGAAATGTTTTAACAAGATTAAAGAATGTTCATATACTTCTAAAGACTAAGCACCAAAAAACATAGCATAAACACAAATAATTCATAATCATATGGATTAAGAGCTAGTTCAAGAGAAAAGTAATATTGAAATGGAAAAACCTCCACTTCACGTGTATTTTTATATCAGGGCACTTAGGTAGTATCACAGCCCACACACAAATCAAGTGACTCGTGGGACATATATGTACCAATATTTATGTGTTCAAATAAATAAATAAATAAATAACAGGGACCGAGAGGCGTATACTTTCTCTTCGGAATCCCTAAAGTGACAGGCCAAAAATGATCGTATTTATGCGAATGTATCCATGCTAAAACGTGCGGTATATCCTAACCTTTTTCAGATATCAACTTGTTAGTACCTTGAGAATTGTATTTTCTATGCGTAGTTTTCTTTTAATATCACTGATATTATTACCTCGAACACTTTGATCTTCACTTCATAGAATTCCTTTAGGTATACACATCCTGGTTGTCATACTTTACCTAAAACTGAAGAATAATTCAACTACTCAACTGTAAGATATGTATGACGTAACAAATAAAAAAACAAAACGTGCAAACTGGTGGAAACAATGAATGAAAACTTACTTTATCTGATATTACAGGTGCATCCTCTTTACTTATCTTTCTCAAAACAGATTGTAAAGTGCCGCATAAAAGTGACTGTAGATCGTTAAATTGTGCTCTGTCTTGATGTGAAACAATTTGATGTTCCAAACCAATGATTGACTCTAGCCGTTCAAGAACAATCAGTGTTACACGTTGTACTTCACAATAACAATCTTGAGCTGCAGATCGCATAAGCGCCATCAAGGCTGAGTACGCTGCATTACGAAGATTATGCTGTCCACCATCTGGTCGACTAGAAGTTGCTAATAGGCGTTCTGTGATCACATTGAAGTATTGAGATAATATGTAGGTCCTCGGTTCCCCATTATGACCGGAATTTTCTGAAAGAACCAAATGATGAGATAGATAGGAAAAGATACTTAAAACATGTTAGTTTAATCAAGCGTTTCGAAAATTCTGTTTTAACGGACTGATATTTTCCGGGAACCTGGGTTATATGAGTGACAACTATTTATTAATTACGGAATGAGGTTATCTGCAACACGCTTTACAAGTATTCGATGGATTAAATTATGTCATTCACAAAAAATTGTCTGTTTAAGCAATTGGTCTACAAGGTTAAACTTACCTACTGTTTCCAGGGTTGACTAAGAACGCTAAAAATTTAAAGGCCTGACAGCCTTTGAAGTATTAACAAACATTGAAGATAGATGACCATTAATGAATAAAACCAGATCTAAAATACCCAAAATATTGGATTTACAAGAATGCGCGGGTATTTTGATAATATACAGAGAAATCTTGGTATTCGATGAACTTCAACTAACTGAATGATATTTGTCAATTTGACCTATGCAACGCAGAGCCTGGTACATATATGAGTTAGTTGAAGCTTATACACTATTTTAGTACAGCGAATATTCGAACACTTCAAGAAGTGAGTTCAGGTTTAAAAGTGTACTCAAATTTTTCATGAGAACATGAGAAGCATTTCTGATAAAAACAAGTCTTAAACAATTAAATATAAGCATATACACTATAATTGGCATATAAAACTTTCGTCTCTAGAACTAACAGTAAGATTCTCATTTATTTTAATAATCTGAATATCTGAAAATTTAATAAATCCCTCATTATTTATTTTATTATTTATTTGAACACATAAATATTGGTACAAGGACGCACTAAATATATATGCGCCACACCATGTTTTTGTGTGTGGGCTGAGATACTGCCCGAGTGCCCAGACCGAAGCAGGTGGTTTTCTTAGGGGGCCACACCCGGAGCCTTCGACCTAAAGATCTGATCCACAAAGCAGTGGAGCATCGTAAGGAGATGCAATCTCATGGCAGCCAGTGACCAACGATTGGTTCATACGGCATTTGTACCCTCAGGATACTGGAGCCCATGTGCACCATTGATTTGGGATCCGGTTAAAGCGCCGGACATTCGCTTTTCGTCCTCTCATTTTCGTAGACAACACCTGTGGCACGAGAAGGCAGTGAGTAGGAGTTCTTTGGCAGAGGTTGTATATGCGTGGCCGTGTGAGAGCATTTCGAGAGGGAAGGCGAACCCACCCCACTCTCGGCCGTACCAGGGCATTTGGGGGCTAATGTCAATTCATAAAGTTTTGTGCAGTACGTTCACGTCACAAACTGTGTGAATGATTTCTGAGCTAACTATTAAATTCACGAATGTGATTGCCATCTACTCCTCAAATAAAGTTATTATAGGTCGTTTTTGTAATTTGTTTTTACCATATGTTAACTGGGTATATCTATTTCGTCATTATTAAACGTAATTTATCCACATAAAATATCACTAATTCGATACCGAAAAATATCAATAGAGAAAAATCCGCTTATATTCGAATGATATTAACATAGTGAGTAAATTTAGAATATTACTATGCTTCATTGTTACATGAGGATGATTTAAAACTAAGTTGATTAGAGTAAAGAAAAATTTCTACCTGAGGCGGCATCATAAGCACTTTCAGCCAGACTAGAAAATGCCCAACAAATGTTAGCGGCAACTCTTGGTTCAGTGGACAATCCTTCAACTAATCCCGTTAACAAAGGAACTAAATATGCTTCATGTAGAGCAACTTCGGGAAGGGTTTCACAAACACGTCCGATAGTCCATGCAACTGTATCGCGAACAGCTGGTGACTCGTCACGCAACAATTCGATTATTACAGGCATAGCAGACTCTACTAAGGGCTAAAAAAAATCAAAAAATCCCTGATCAACTATTGTCAAGGAAGTAAAATAGATGTAACTTATTCTTAAGATATTTTTTATGTCGGCCATGAGCCACACAATTTCCAAATCCAGAAGGATTTGAACTTAAAACTTTTTGATAAGCCGAGTGACTTAACAGCAATTAATATCAAGAGACATTCAATAATCAAACGGATTGACGGTTAGTTATGGTATTACACAAGTTTTTCAAAGAGGAACGCATGAAAAATATCTACAGCCAACAGGAGTATAACATGTATAGAGTGTAATCATAAACAAGATTGACAAGTTTGTTTTCATTAATAGGAAGAAATAAGTACTCATTAACTGACGTACATTTCATGCAAAGTTCTGAACACTTGAGAATTTACTGGATCCACATAACGAGGCAGCACATCATATACACTGACGACAGAATTGACCACAATATCATAGCAATTATTTTACGTGGTGAACTACATTATATACTTTTAGATTGGCGAAACATGCTGGAGTATGTTTACGCACTGCGTTTACCCTATAAACTTCATTAGTGTCTGGCGACTCGACTCACCGTCACAAAATCAGCCCCGGATATCAGGAAACAAGTAATCCTTCCGTGTAAAACACTTTGGGATTAATGTTGCTTACTAACCAACGCAATCACTCCAATCTTACGCAAACCAAAAGATACAACAGCGAAAGAGAAATTCAGTAAGAACACGAACCATCGGTTAAACGACACGATATGCTAACATTGATATCAATGGGTACATACACAAATGGAGATGAACTTGACTGGAACACCGAAAATCTGGATCGTGCGAATTCTAAGCGTCAGTTTTTTTGACACCATGACATTCTGATGAATTAGCATTTGGACATATCAATTCAAACCTGATCTAACTCATTCGAAAAGGGTCAGGCAACTTGAGTACATAGACACCTGAAGACAATAAAGCACATGGAGATAACCAATCATAATTAAAGGCCATCAAAACAATAACATAAGGGTCGTTGGATAACTAAGAAACTCAGTTTTACTTGAAGTAAGCACTTACGGTGTTGTCCAGAATGACAACGAAAGTTCCGCAACTGAACCATCTAGTTTAAAGTACTTAGCAACACCAAGAACATAGTGATTAGTAAAATCCTAATAATTAAATTTTATGTATAACAAGTCGAATACGGAAATGTAGCAAGTGGACAAGCTAAATATTCAGTTACCCTATTTTGGATTTTATTGCTGGGGATGAGGTAAACAGTACATTGGAGCTATAATATGAGACAATCCGTCGTTTAACGACATATCATGGCGAGCCGAGAGATGGAAAAACTTATCATTACTTACTTTCTTAAATTATATATTCTCAAAGGTTTCTATTTACAAACTAAAGTGAGTTGGTTCGCTAAAAGGCTTAACCAAATTAAACTAGGTAATGACTACATTACATTTTTAATATAAAGGATTCGTACATGATGCTTTGAAAAACTGCAAGTAAACCAACTTAAATGACAAGGCTATGCTAAAAAGAAACGAACCTTGAGTGCTGCAGGATCTGGACCTTCAAGAATACTGCCGAAGCTCATGACGGCAGCATCTCGGTAGCGCCAGTCAGGTTTCTTAATATTCTCCTTTACAAATGGTATGACAAGATTGACAATCGGATCTTCGCAACATTGTGCCAGCAGCATTAAACACACACCAGATGCTTTACTTGGATTCCACTCGTCGTCATCCATTGATTCATCCTGCTGGGCGAGAATTTCCATCAGGATTGGTACAATAAACTGCAGGGCTCCCTTGGCATAAAACATGCTAGAAACCGCTGGAGGTTGACCTTTCTCAAAGCATTCGGCAACGTCAATAGCTAAGTCGATCTCTTCATCACAAACTGTAGACCAGAACTCGATTCCCTGAAGAGCGACTTCCGGTACAGAATCTTTCATAGCTCCCAACGTAATCTAGCAATGTTGAAAACATTTTAGAAAAAGCTGATGGAATGATTGTTATGACAGTAGATGAACCAAGTGAAATCAACTCGAAAACGTGTAGAACCAAGCCAGAAATTGACCTAAAGCAAAATGTTCTAGAAAAAACAAAACTACCACTAAAGTCCGTAAACATATTTAAGGAACTAGAGAATGATAGCAATTTTGTTATCCAACCATACCCTGAACTCGAACGCATCACTAGGGCCTTGAAACTAACTACATTATGCTGACTAGACAGCATTAGATAGTGAAGTTATAACCTATTAAGTAGCAGGTACAAGATAAGTCCTTAACGAGTCGCTGTACTTGGGTTAGTTCAAAATACTACTTGGATTCCAGTGCGTTTAAAAGTTTGATATTTAGGTGGTTGGTTAACGGTCTTTAACGTGAATAATCCCCTAAATTTAAATATTACTTTGGTAGATACATTGTATACGGAAATAATAAATACTAACTACATCAAAGACAGCGATTACGAACACAATTTTTGATGTACCAAGGAATAATATTTCCATTTCCGGAAGATAGAAATACTAACGATGACAGCATAGCTTTATCAGTTAACTTTAAGTACTCAGAAACTATAATAAAACGAGCTGAACCATAAATCTTAGTTTTATAATTATTCAAAAACTAATAAGACCGAGACTGAGTGGTTAAGATCTTTGACTTCTAACCAATAGGTCGCGAATTTAAGCCTTGATTCACTTTTGCTTGGGCAACCAAGAAGTATCACTAGCTCTCATATTACAGTTTAGAGCTAAGCGCATGAGATTGCACTTGCTGAATCAACTATACGATGAGTGTAACTTTTTAAGAGGATATGTAAATTTAGTTTACGTGAGAGCTTGTAATGAAAAACCAAAGTCGTGAGTAGATATTAATAGACGATGGGGTGATCATTCAATATAGCATCAGCACTACAAGGGTTACGACAAATCCACCAACCGGCTATCCTTATTATTAAAGACCTTGTTCAGAGAAAAAACAGTTGACTATGTGGATAAACATGAGTGATAGTAGGTTGCTTTTGCTGTTTATGCAATTTCAGAACACTAGTTTGTGACTTTAGGCTTCTGAATTCGATATAAACTGTTGTTAGGTGTGATTAAACGAATACGGGTTGCATAAGTAAGAATCTAACCTTCATGTTTATCAGTTAAAAATATAGGGCATGGTTCTTAGTTAAGTTATAAACATTAACTTACGGCAAATAACGCTTGTTTCATATACGGCTCCATGTAACTATAGTAAAGGGACATTATTTTTACTAAACACTGAAGAGCTGCAACACGGATTTGAGGATTTGGCGACTGAGTTGATTCGCAAACAACTTGCATAATGTAGTTTCGCTCATTCTAAGATAAAATTAAATAATCAAGCACCAAATTACATCAACATCGAAATTGTGTTTTGTAAACTCCAAAGAATTCAGAAGTGCATTTGTTGCTGCTAAACGCACGCTATCACTGGAACAAGAGTTATGGAGCCCAAATCTACATACCTTGGTTCTTCTTTTTTCATACCGCAAACTATGGCAGTTAAAATAGCGTTTGACTGGCTAGCTAAAATACAGGGATCCTGTCGTAACTATACAAATGCACTGGTCTTACTATATCTTGGCAAATGTATCCTATTCCTTCTAGTGTTGAACGCTTGCATGCCTCTGTTTTGTTTGGTGTGATGACGTTTTCCACCAATCGCTCCATCAGATCTGGCCACTGAAGTGCAGGAATTTCTGCACATGCAATGTAAGCCACACATTGTGCAGCAGAACTATGTGTCGTAGTTTCTGTTCCTAATGCGGCAAGACACTGGAGGAAGGTTATAAATATTGTGAGGACTTACGTTTTTTTTTATATACTCCCTTGACTCCACTGGAGCCTGTAACCACCGTTGTTGATAAAGTGTTTTGAGCGCCGGGTCTTTGGAATACAGGGCGTTTTTTAGCTGAATGCCAGCTTGCATACGGACAGGGGGCGAACACTCGACGTTAACCAAAACATCACTGAGTTGTCTGAGCAAACCAAAAAGGTCTACTTTGGCTGCTTCCTCGAGAAAGTGCTGAGCCGCTTCAAGCTCCGACTTTTCTAAAAGATTCAGAAAACAATGAATTCAATTGTATGTCTAGTCTTACCTAAGGAAAGACTTTTTTCCAAAACGGAAAACAATCCAACATCCAAAGACATACTAGGAGAAGAGCGTGTCCCCGAGATTTGAAAACCAGCCTGTCAAGTAGCCGCTCTATGTTCCGATTTTCCAATGTTAGGTCAATTCAAACGACTCCATAATGGTATGGTTTACTGGGAGGATAATGTAAAATCAAACCCCAATGTTCCTAAGTAACAAAACTGGACTACATCTGCCAGCATAATGACTTCAGGACAAAACCATATACCCAAGGAAGACCTCACGACATTTGATAATCATACTGATCAGTCATTAATTTTCCTCATCTTAGACAATCCAGGTCGTTAAACACAGCACCATAGAGCCTTAATTTTAAAGACTTTTGTACGTCTAACTGTAAGTGACACGAAGCAGAGACCTGGATATGTGGGCAAGTTGAAGTGAGTGGAATCTAAGCTAATTTGGATGAAATCCTATTTCGAGTCCTAAATAATCTATCTTGGGGAGCGACTTAAATCTGACATAGAATAATTCAGCCTGTAAATAACTTCAGGACTTCTATGTTGTTACACTTATATCTGCGATTCAGTCTTCAGTAGTAAGGATAGGTCAGTCGGCCTATATTAATCCTTACAATTTGTGGTACTGTGAAGATCCAATTTCTCTTTGAACGTATCAACAGAAGCTCTTATATTACGTATTCTGTAAGAGAATCTCAATAGTTTACTACTCAGTGTGAGGAATGGAAGTCCTAAAAGCATTTGGTGCAGCAACCCTCTAATTACTCGTAGGTCTTAAGTCGTTGCTCAATTTGACTTCTAGATCCTTATTGTCTATTACTTTAGGTAACACCATTCCGCTAATTATGTAGCTATATGAATTGTCTCAGTTATTTGAATCACTGCACTCTTTTTAAAATAAGCTTTTAACGACCACCTACACATCCACTTCAACCAGTAAGTTAGAGTCATCCTGTAATATTATCCTACATGATATACTGTGCGTGTTTCCAAATATTTAATTCAGATAGCTTTGCTACAGTTGGTACATCATTTACATAAAGTAGAAGAGAAGAGGGCCGAGGGCTGTATCTTAGGAAGCTACCTATTTCACAGACTCCCATGTTAATAAATTTCCATCTACCCGAATCCATTATCTCCTATCATTGGCCAAGTCACTTATCCAGTTTATAATTTTGTAGCGGATACTGAACATTTCAATTTTAATTTAGGACTCAGGTGAGAGAGATTATCAAATACTTTACTTAGATCTATGAAAGTTACACCTACCGGAATACTACTTTTTTTCCGCTGAGGCTCAATATTCTCTTCCAATGAATAGATTTGTCAAGCACGATAGGCTCTTCTTAAAATCATGTTGTCCCATAAATATTGTTTCCTTCTACACATTTTACAAAAGCCATCTGAATAATCTTTTCCATTAGTTTGACCGCTATGCTTGTTAGATTAACGGGTTCATATTAATTATGTCTCAACTCTTCGCTTTATAAACCGGACTGATAATTGCATCTTTCCGGACTATTGATGGTTTAGACTGCCTCAAAGATATACCAAACAATATTTACAGAGAATTAAAAATCCTAGGATGAATATTGTCAAGACCACTTGACTTATCTGGTTTAGGATGTCGAAGTAACCGCAGCGCAGCTCGTTTCTTAACAACCACCGGATCCATAAACAAGCCTCCATTGTCACAAATAATTGTTAGCACTTCACCACCGTCGGTAGAAAACACCCTACCAAAATATTCTGATAAATCTCCGTCTTTTAAGAGCATCATCTTTTGCCAACGAATGGTCTTGCACCATAGGCGGCGGGACTCCACCAGTTCTCTGAGTTTATCTCTTCATATGCAAAAATAACCTTAACGGATGGTTTTCACAATTCCTAACCAATTGTTTGTCGGACGAATGCTCAACTTCTATGACAAGTGCTTATGTTAGATTCAATACATCACGATTTATTAACCACTATTCAAATAAACGTTCACATCACTTCATACTTGACCTTTGGTTTAACTGGTTTCGGAACTATTTCGTTGGAAAATACTTGGACAAGTTAAGTTATTTAACAATACATGTCCATCAACGTCTTCAAGATCATTATGAGGTAGTCTTCGAGTCAAGACTTCTCCGTTAAATGTGGATGGTTTTTTAAATGTTTCTCAAGATACTTCTGAAAGTAATTTATCTTTGTCAATTAAAGTGGAAAATGAAATTTCTTCACCCTTACATGAAGTTAAGTAGGACTATCGAAGTCAGAGGAAACGTCTTGCCATCAAGCTGATCAAAATAAGTGTTTCAAAGTGACCAATGCAAGATTTTATGGGAAGGCATCTTTGTCATGTTTAGTGAAGTATTTAAGACTTAAGTGAACAAGCCAGATTAAGTTTTTCTACAAACGATCAGTGATGTATCAGAGCCAAGACTAAGGGACTGTTAATCCTTGAGCCATTTTGTGGATCATTAGTACAATATTTAGTTGCTCATTGTATAAGTAACAAACAATTGAGTTCTTTTGTTCTTATTTTCTGTTTGTTGTAAGCTTTCATTCAAGCCAGAAATTGATGTTGTGGGTCCAGTTATTTTTAGTTTATTGCCAGTCGTATATTTAAAGCTTCCCGAGTTCACAACCACTTTCGGATCTACTCGCGCATAACCATGTTTACCTATGTCATCATAAGACATTTTACAGTATGCCTGTACACAAAGTACTTGTGCTTGAAATAATGTAGCGGAAACGTGGCCGATGACTTCGGAACAACTCAATGTGGTTGATTAAGAATTGGCCGGAAACATGGTAATGTCGAAACATTGTAACCGAAGTACTTCTCAAGTCCATTATTTTTCGTAGGCATTATGTTTCTTGTTATCCGATATTAAATGTTGAAACTGTATGTCCGAAAATAGAATTCCCAAATTTAAAGAAATCACAGCATCAACATTCCAAAAGTAAACTAACGGTAACCTATCCAGTCAAAACTGGGGGGCACATGTGATTTCTAGACTCAGTAAACTAGCACCAGATGTGCTTAAAATTGACAGAGCTGGATTCGACTATATCCTCAATTTGCATTGTGTCTGTCCCTCTAATATCCAATGTGTGTTCCCCCCGACACATGCTCCTAAGTAAAAATGAAAGCAATTGATGACCGTGAGGGAATCACAAGTCCCTCAATCACCAGTCCGTATCAGATAAGTACCCAATACATCATATCCAAGATTTTAAAATGGGTTACAGGGTATGAACGTATTTACTAAAACTGGCCTGGTCGGGGCATATCACAGTAGCTAACAAGGATACCTTTGTGACTGTTTGCGTTCGTTTGCATGCCATTCAGCTTGAGGAATATGTCACAAACATCTTAAAAGTTTATGTACTACCTACTTCGGAATATGCCTTTCATACAAGAGTGTATGGACGACTTGCAAATTACCAGTTTGGGTTTCAAATCATACGAAAAACACATGAGAGCAGTGTTAAGACGGCTAGATGAAAATGGAATGAATATATATCCTAGGAGAGACTACACAGATCAGAGAAGAGGCACATGCAATTAGACAGTAACATATAACAATTTCTCTAACACAAACCTAAAGTTTTCTAGATTTAGTTAACTCTTATCGTAGAATCATACCCGGTTGTACAAAACTAATGAGACCATTGACAGATTCACTTAAGGGAAAACCGTAAGATTTTAAACTGACTTCCAAGGCTGATGAGGCTATTAAAATACTAAAAGATAAAATTGCCCAGTTATTGAAAGCTGGAGCCGACAAATATTTTCCTTTAGAGACCCGACACCTTGACTATATATAGCTAATCACTAGTGATACCCGACATGAGAAAAGCCAGGACAAACAGTCAGCAGATAAATCATCTCAATTAGAAACGAACGGAATCTAAAAATCAACCATAAATTTTTAGTCATCTATTTACATGCACTGAGAAACTCGCGAAGTTTCCGATAGCCATACCAATAACCGAAATCTTAGCTGAAACAATGGCCAAAGCTTTCATGAAGAACCGAATGACTTTTTCTAGTACGCCTGTTATAATAATGACCTATACAGAAGCCGACTTTACATCTGTACTATTCAACAATTTGTCAAAACTACTAGGTTCTAAAAGAATACTTTGCACAGCATATGGTCCATAGGCTAACAGAATGACAGAGCGTCTCTGTTGTCAGTTTAAACTGCCCTGATATCACACTTAAACCCACTCAGTGGACATAATTCTTAGGATTAGTTATCTTATCAGTAAAAACAGCTGTCGATACTGTTTCACAGTGTTCTGCAGTAGAATAAGTCCTTAGAATGATCCCAAGGTGATTTTACTTATTCTTGTATTGAATGTTACGCGGACCGACTAAGTGACCAAATGTTGTAACTTAGACCGGTTAGTAATCGTGAACGGTCACGAGCGACAAATGTACGCATGGACCCAGGCAATTGCATGCACGTCTGGATAAGGTGTAACAACGTAAGAGCAACACAGCCCTCGATCCGGAGGTTCATATAAAGTTATCTCAAGAAAATCTAAATATTTCGTGATAAAAAACAAGGAAACACCGAATCAGCAATTAATAATACGCTTAAATCATTTTGTTTGGACTATGAACCATTGTATGCTTTATTAGACCGTTTATATTACAAAATAATTACAGAATTAAAGAGCAGCAACAAGAACTTCCCACATATAAACAAAACGTTTGGTGAGCAGAACCAATCACTCAGCCGAGGATATCTACAGTTTTGGCTAAATTCATAAATTTGACCAAACATGTACTAAGGTTTGGTTTGTTGGGTTTTTGTGCGTGTACTTGAAGACTGAATACAAAAATGAAAGCTCTTTTACTTACCGTTTTACCATTCTTTCCGAAAAAGACATACATAGTACCAAGATAGTAATACTCGTGTATGAGAGAGAGTCAAAGTAAACCATTTTGTAATTGGTTTTGTTATTCTTTGCGAAAAATTTCCATTTTAACTATGCCCCACAAGTGATATCTTACCTGCCCTTCCTGAAGTCTTTTGCTTTTGGTGCAAGAGAGTCATATTCTTTTGTGCACTAAATACATAGACGACT